ACACAGAATCTCTTCTGGAGAACACGATTCTCTCAAGAGATATCATGTACAGAATAGAGGGAAAACCAGATAGCAAGCATAACCTCTGCTTCCGGTTCCAGCTGTGCCCCTTGCTTGCTGCATGGCCGTACACAATTCACTGAGGTGCAAATTTTCAGAACTGGTCGCTAAGATTGGGTCTCTCCATTTTTGGGTGCCCCATTTAGAGATGTAGGGCTGATCACCAGTAGCTTGCATTGATTTCTTCTGAAAGCTGGATCCCACATGGCTAAATCTGGGCAGTCAGAAAATAGAGGAACCCAAATAATAGGCCACTTTCATGGGCAGTAGCTGCTCTGTCCCTCGTTGCCCCATCTGTGCAATGGGGATCAGAATATTTCTCTACCTCCCAGGGGTGTTGTGACGTTTAATTTTTTAATGGCTGTAGAACACCTTGGGTTGCTCCGGTGGAATGCACTAGAGCAGTGGTCTCCAAACTTTTTTGATTGCGCACCCCTATCAGTACAAATTTTTTGAGCACGCTCCTCCTGCCGCGCACCCCCAAGGATCCTCTTGCGCACCCCTTGGGGTGCACACACCCCACTTTGGAGACCACGGCACTAGAGAAGGCAAAAATATAATTATCAGCAGGGGTAGGTGTGTAGTAATTATTTTTTATTGTAGGCATGTCCAGTACCCGTATCGTACTTTCTTGAAGTGCTAGCACGGTGGAGGCAGGTTGCAGGGATGAGCTTTGAGCCCTTTTTCCTCCTCCTCAAAGGAATGTGTAACTATGATGTAAAAACCACATTACGTAGGGTGGGATAGAGGCTGGATGACTCAGGGAACTGATAATGGGATATGCAGCCTTTGAACTCTAGATCAATTGGAGCTTGGCACAAGCCCTGTTATCATCTGAAAGCTGGTCTGTGGCCCACGTGAAATGAATTGACCGTCTCAGTACAGTTCCCAGCAGCCAGATATCTGCTTCATAACGGGCATCCCAGCTGGAGACTTGACAGCAGAGAGGCCATGGACTGAATGAGCTAGTTGTTCTATGATGCCTACAACCTTTAGCCGACATCAGCCACATGCCTTGTCTGCCCTAATATTGTGCCATAATGGGAGAAATGAAAAAGTGAAACATTAACACCTGCCTCTGGGTCTCCTGTTGTGTCATCTTCTCAACTCCTTCTGGCAAAGCTTGTCTTTATTTGCTATTTCGCCAGCACCAGTGGCAGTGCTTAGCAAATAATTCCCATCTCCCTCTTGCTCAGTGGGGAGGGGCACATTTGGCAGGGCCACATAGCAACTCTCACAGAACTAATGCTAATGTTCTGTTTGCTCTGCAGGAAGTCAGGGGACTTCAATCTCTCAAGCTGTCACGCTGAAACTTTTCGGAAGCAGCAACTTACTAAATTGATAAGGCAGCTATAGCTACAGGGAAATCTGCTGTTTGAAACTCCCAGATATTCCATGCTTCTCTGTTTTCCCTCTCAGTACACGGAGAACCATTCTAAAGTAATTATTTAGACTGAAAAAATGTAATTGGACATTGGTTGTTTTTAAGTCTACAGAGTCCATGGGACAGTATGTACAGGGGGGATGAAAATACTGAAGTTAACAGTAGAGAGAGAGAATCTCTTATGGAGAACGCGATTCTCTCAAGAATCACACCACCATTATTACTACTACTTAAACCCAAAACCTATTTTTTTCCTCTGCCTTTTTATTACATTTTGTTAGTGGTAAACAATATAAACTTAGCACTTAACCCATCAGAGTGCTCTATAAACACTCACTAATTCTCACCACTCCACTCAGCGGGGAAAGGATCAGCTCCCCAGTTTTACAGATAGCCTCTGAGCCTCTACTTCCCTATCTTAAGGCCCTACAGCAATTTTGGCTAGAGTGAGAATGCTGGGCAATGCTTGTGTCCCATCCGTGTCTTATTTCTCCAGACCAGGCTGCTCCCATGCTGTGTTAACCTAGTATATACAGTTTAGTTACAGGAAAATGGAGTAAACTGACTTCCTCCTGCATCAGCCTCGAATTCTAGCCCTTACGTTAAAGAGGCAGTGGAGGGATTTTGCTCAAGTTTTATATCCAGGGGTGCACAAACATTTGCTCTCAGGAGACCGTGCATGGAAAAGTTCAGTCCCAAAAGGGAATGTCTCGTGGTCATAAATGTTTGAAAACAGATGTGTTAACTATTTATGCTAAATAATTTGTTCCACCTTGTATTTAGCTGACACTTTCCCCAGACCTGAAGAAGAGCTCTGTATAGCTTGAAAGCGTGTCTTTTTCACCAACGGAAGTTTGTCCAAAAAAAGATATTATCCCACCCAGCTTGTCATTGAAAACAGTGTCATACCGTCATGGGAAATGGAATGACGCACAATATCAGAGGAAGACTAGGCTGTATAGAATAGAGTACTTGAACTAGGGAAATGGGCACTTGTGACATTTGTATAGATGAGAGTCTTTCTACACTCTTATATGCAAATACCATACTCTGAACTAAAGCACCATGTCCTCTCTAGTAGATTACCCATTCCGAAACTCCATCTCTATTAACTTTTCTTGTTACCAAAGCTACTTTCAAGTTTATTGCAGTTATCTAAGCACCCATGTAGTTGTTAGCACATATACCTGGGCATACAGTAGGATTAAAGGTTTATCCTTCCAGATATTCAAATTTGTCACATTAAGCTTTGATGCAATAAGCCATTGCTGAGATTGCAACTGCCGTCCACAGCTTAGAGCCTGAAGCGCGTCACAGATAGAGAAGGCAAGTAGTAGTAGGGTAAAAAAACAAGCATAGGACAAGTTTCAGAAAGTGGTCTATGCTGCTATCCACACCACGTCTAGTGAAGAGTAAGTGGCTGAGGGGATATAGAGCAGGAAAGGTCATTTTTGGTACCATCTTGTAAGCTGATAATTCTATTTGAAGAGTTTTATTCTATCATGATATGTTATTGTTAGAAGATGCTGAAGTTACATAAGAACCGCTTCAATGTCACAGGGCAAATTGGGACTACTACAGTATTTTAAAAATTCAGAATACATTGGCCCTAACATTTATTTACACATCATGACTTACTTGAATACAGCATCTTTCCTCGGGAAGACACCAAAAGCGCTTTTCAAATGTAAAATGCATCTATGGTCAGAAAAGTGGGTCTGTAAAAAACGGAAACCTCTGTACTCAATACATTTTGCCTGTCTGTCATTACAAATCATAGCTATTTATTTTTACTGCTTTTCACTCCCGCTGGCTTTGCAAAGCCAACACAATTATGGGAGAATGAGCTAGATTCTAATTCTGCCTCCCGTATCAAACAGAACTGTTTATTAATTCCACCTGCAGTCTTCATTGCATACAGTAATTTACGAGTAAGAAAGCAAGAGCAGGACTTTTAGATCAGTATGCTTACAAGGCTGGTAGACAGAACAGCATATTTTTAAAGTGTCAAACAAAATTTGATCCAGAATCACAGAGATACGGAAGCCCATTGAAGCTATTTTTTTTACAGTCACTTTTTAGAAAAATTTAAAGTACACACAGGAATCATTTCAATCACCAGTGAAATTCAGCTGCCTCTGTGGTAGCTGTTTAACAGCATGCAGAAACACTGTCCAATAGTTTAGGACAGTAAGCAAAGATGAATATCATATTCCTTTGAAAACACAGGGAAACTGTGGTAGGCATGATTATAATAACCATGCATGCTGTGTGCATACTCTTACCTGTTATCTACATTTAACTAAAAATAATGAAGAAACCTATCACTTCTAGGTCACTAGCTCAAATTCAGCCCAAGTGGTTACCTACTCATAGTTGTTAACAGCTAACTGCTTGTTCAGTGGCCTATTCCGAAGTCCAACTATTAGTTTAGTGCAGTATACGTATAATGAAAAATCATCACTTCAGTTAGCATCCTATAGGTCAGTATTAGCAGAAAAGCAAAGGACAGAATAGAAATTCAAGATGAACTACTTTCTCTCCTCCTAGAATTGCTCCCCACAGGTGAGGGTTGAAACATAGTGGTGGAGAAAGATTGCACAGCAACTACTCTTAGGGCACATCTTCACTGCAGAGTTAACTCAGGTGATCAGCACCTGGGTTAGCCTAGCCCAGATGTGAGCAACCACACTGTGAAGCCATGTCTGAGTTATTGGTCCACCCTGGTGCACATACCTGTATGAGGCTCTAGGACTTCTGGGGTCATATCACATGGTTCTTAGTGCTACAGTAAGTTGTGCTGCTCTATGATTCTTTCCCAGTGGATTGGGGGGGGGGACTTGTCTGTCCTTCTGGGCACGCAGGGGAAACTGTAGGACGGCATTGGAGACCTATCAGTACCTGAATGGTTTAGCCTACGCACTCCCTGAAAAGTGGGTGGATTACCAGCCTGAGTGTAAAATGCGCTTGGGCTTTAGCCTATATCCTAGGATAGGCCAGCTAGCCCGAATTAAAAACAGCACCATACTCGGGCCCAAGGTTGTGTGTTCAAATGGGAGCCAGGTTAGGAGCAACACCTGAGCAAGAGCCAGAGTTAATTTTGCAGTGAAGACAAGCCCATAATGTACCAGTCTGTGGATAAATAGAGGCCAGCCTTTACCTTCCATGCTTGTCAAGCTGGCACATTTCATGAACCCTCCAATATATTCATTACACCTGATAAATTGGTGGCTTTTATTTTTTCACTAGGAAAAAAGCTGTGTTTTTAATACATGTTGGCTAACACATACTAAAATCCTAGTAGACATGGTGACTTGTTTGGACATGTGTTAGCTGGTCTATGTCAAACCTGGTGGGGAGGTTAGGGTTTACCTTGACCTGTTAACACACATTAAAACAACTTGCTTTGTCCACACTAGGGTTTTAATCATGTATTCATTAACGTGTGAGTCAATATGTGTAAGAGCTCCTAACTGTAATGCTATTCTCTGCCGAAACGATATAAAAAGGTACATTCCCATTGGCTACAGCAAATACTCTAAAGAAAATAAAACACTGATGCAAAAACTTCCCCTTTTTATTTCGAGTTCTGTCAACAACCAAGTACCTATTAAGGGCCAAATTCAGCCCTGGCATAAAGAGGGGCAAAATCAATGAGGTCAACTGAATTATCTCAAGGCTGAATCTCACCCTAAAATGTTCCTATCGAATCTGTGGCACACTAGCAGGTTGCCATGATAAACATAGGACACTTGAAAGTAAAAGCAGAATTTTCCTTAAAAATATATATGTACATTTTTTTCCCATTTGGCTCTGTGGTTATATACAAAACAAAGAGCAATAAATAGAAATTCTGTAATTACATTGCTCATAAAAATAAATTTTTGTTTGGATAGGACACGTGACATTTAACGGTTTCTCTTTTTCCACTGCTTATGAAACATACAGAGTGAGAAAATATATGTAACAACATAACCAAGCTGTTAAGAAAGCTTGATTACTCTACAATGCATTTCACTGTGATAGCAGAAAGATCTCTTGGATAGATCTTTTTCACTGGTTTGACTCATCAATTCTTCTCCGACAGTACGGACAACAGTTATGCTGGAGCACCAGGAGCTCATAATCCTCCGAATGAAACATCTGTGAATTAGGAACAGATTTAGGCATATCTATTACACCGTTACTGGCTCACATCTAGGAAAAGGAAACTGAGATGGAATGGTTTTGCTAGGGCTCAGAATATCTGATGCTACTGTTACACCAGAGTTAATGTTTCCAAACAAGAAGTTATTTACAGCTGTTTGTAACAGCTCTAATTTGGAATATATAAAGAGCAAATATTTCATTAAATAAGCATGGAGGCTATGGAAGTCAGTTCACCCAACCAGTGAAACCCAACTCCTCTGTGAGAAAGGAGGGTGGACTTTAGGATGCTTTCTCTGCTACCACATAACCAAAAATAACCAAACTATTGAATATTTTGAAGCAAACGTACCTGCGCTGAGGGAAACTACAATGAAAAAAAACTTTTACTTGCTGCATGCCCCCACTAAACCAGGCTATAAGGTTAGAAAGGCAGAGGGGGAAAAAATCAGCGTTTCCCTTCTTTTAGTTCACTTTAGGACTTCTTGAGTGGCTACAATTCTTGTCATCCTTGCAAAGTCCCCAAATACTTCATTCTACAATTTCAGCTACCACTAGCTATTCTGAAGCCAGCCCTTCTGGCAAGGCCGATCATCTCTGTATGTAACACAGGGTATTTTACTCTCTTTATTTACTATTCAGGACTTCAGAGCGTATGTATCGAGGATTAGAAATTAACGTATAAGGGTCATTACAATTCGTTTCTCACTAGGAATGAGTTTTTAAAGACCCCAATGAAAACTTTTTACTTATACCTGAAAGCATGTTGGACACATGGTAATGGAAGCATCTGGTAGCAAGGACCGGAAGTACTGCCACTGTAATGGCTTTGGCCAGCGTTTAATCAGGACATCCCTCCGGCTCATTGACCGGAGAACTGCACGATTCACTATCACAGGAACAAATTCTGAGCCTCCTTGCTGCAGCGTTTAAAAAAGAATGAAACTTAACAATTTCAAAGCATTTTAAAGATGACAAAGATAAAGAGTGGAGTGTTATTACTCAGTAGAAAGCGCTAACACAGAATAGGCATGGATTCTGCTCCCACTGAAGTCAATGGCAGTTTTGTCACTGTCCTCAGTGGGAGTAAGCCAGGTGTGAGTAAGGTATTTTCACTGCGCTTCACTCATTCCCATTAACACAATTCTTTATTTAAAACAAAAAAAAGCCATTTACAAAAACTTCCCTGAAAATGCCTATTTTTAACTGCACCCACCCAGACCCTGAGCTGTCTAGGGGACAGTCCCCCTGCTGCTTGCTGGAAACACCAGACTCCAGTTGGACTCACCCGTGCCCCAGCCATCTGAAACTGGGGTATAAAGAAACTCCTGGGAGGAGTCAACCAGAAACTCAAGCTGGGAGAAACAGATAAGTGAGGTTTTTACCCAAGAAAGTTTATGCCCAAATAAATCTGTTAGTCTTTAAGGTGCCACCAGACTCCTTGTTGTTTTTTTAGAGATAAAGAAGCTGAACAGAGACATTATGTGCACAGATGACATCAAGGGCCCACTGCTGTCTACAGCTTTTTCTCTAGACATTCTCTCCCATGCTGACTGGCTGTTTGCTCCAGCTCTATCGAGTTTCTTTGCCTCACTCCACCTACTCTTAATACTGCTCCCTCTTCTCCTTCCCCCATTCCTCTTATCCCCTTCCCTGTCCCTTACTTCCCCTCTCTGCAATGTCTCTTCTCCCTTCCTTTGCCTCATCTCAATCTCTTCCCAACAAATGCCCATCCAAATAAATAATGAGGAAATAAAAATATTGTGGAACTAACATGGTATTTACAGACTATCACACTGATCATCTGCTCACATCTTATATTCTTTCCCCTGCATCTTTCATCCGTCTGGTCTGTTTAGACTGCAAGCTCTTCAAGGCAGTAACTATCTATTACTTACATTTGTAAAAAACATGTAACACAATGGAGCCCTGATGTTGTTTAGGGCTCCCTAGGCACTAATATAATACAAATAATAATAATACCACCAGGCCTTATTTAACAATCTTGGCCAGTTGATGTTCTCTGTTACATCAGTGTAAGTTCAGAGTGACTATTGTTTTCAGATTTACAATACGGTAACAGGGAACATGGACTGCCTATATATGAATATCCTGCTCATTTTATACCCTGGATGTCTTCCTTAGAGGCTCTCTCTTGGGCATGTTTATATCTGTGTGTTATGGAAACCCTCTACTATGAAAAAAGTAAAGGGCTGTTCAAACTAACTTCAGAGTTTGATTTTTTAACGCCACATAACTGCAGCATGCAGAAAACATAGTAATTTTAAAATCTGTTTCTGCAGTGGGTGGGTTGGCACCCCAGGAGACTACTCTTCCATTGATGATGATGAGGCCAGAGAGAAACAGTTTACTTGAAAAAGACATTCAGATAGAATAAGTGGTTCTCCAGGTTTTTCTTTTCTGTGGGCTAATCACTTAGTATGAGAAAGATGCCATTCTCCCTCAACTGCTGCTCCTAGCCTCCCAGTCACCCACTTTCCTCCATTTCTTGTGGGAGGTCGGCAGAACATATTAACACTTGGTAAAGGAATCAGAGAGGCTGTGGTCTGTCGAGACCGGCTATTGATCAGTAAATGGTGACAAGGAAGGAACTGTGGGATGCCAGCTCAAAAGGAGATATGATAGCATTGAAAGAACATTTGCAGGTAGAGTCACCCTGGGTTTGCTTTCTCTTCAATCAACTTCAGCCTCAAGGGCAGCAACATTTGAAAACCCAAATGAGGTATCCTCACCTCAAAGCTCAATTTTGCTGTAAAGGGATCATCCTCTTCAATAAGGTCTGTGTTGTCATCAAATCTCAGCATCTGCGCTCCTAGAGAGGTTTGTTACGGAAGAAACAAGAACTCCTACAAAATCAAATCCTTTTACCCTAGCACTCATAGGACTTGTCTTATGGCTTAGTCGTAGGGCTCTCACTCCTTGCTTCACCCAATGCCCATCATGTCAGGCAGACTAGGAGTACTCAGATACCACTGGAGTAATCCCTAGATTATATTAGATAGTGCTGCAGAAGAAGCTTACTCTGGCCCAGGAAGACTGGAGTGCCACACCTCACTAAGTAGCAATTGCTGTGGAACAGCAGAGCTTAAAACTACCAAGTTACTAGCAGTAACTAATCTACATAAACGCATGTGACTTTAGTAGTACCCTCATCCTCCATTTCCCTACCCTCCTGTAAACATCGAACACCTCACTTTGGGCAACCTATTTTAAAGCTCTCTGAGGCAAAAGACCGTGCTGTCTTGTGTACTTGTATTGCATCTACTACTATCAGGCCCCAACAACAATTGGCACCATTGTGTGCCACAGCAATACAAAATTCTAGGATTCTATAAAATAGACAACAACAATAATAACAGGCTTCAAAGGGAGCCCAATCCAGTTCTTCCTTAGCAAGGAAGATAGAAAGGTGTGATACAAGAGGAGAATAATGTAACTCTCTCTTACCTCCCATCCTTTATAGAAAGTATTTACTATACTTTCTATAAAGGATGGGAGGTAAGAGAGAGTTACATGAAAATAAGTGAATTGTATTATTTTTAACCTAAAAATACTTGACAAGATTATGAAACTGACTTTTCTAAAGAAAACCTTTTACAATTACTAGGATTGGTTAATATACCTGTACTTTTTTAGTTGCTACAGCAATTGAAAAAGAAACACACAATGGAATTGTACCCACTTATGTCAGCAATGAATCTGTCTCCTAGTCATAAGAGAAGCAGATTAAAATGCCACAAAAGCATAACAGATCAAAAAAAACCCCAACAACCCACAACCAAAAACTATGTCTTCCGAACTGCCGCTCTTTCCCTAAGAAAACCAGAGAGTATTCTGGATTGAAAGGATACCATCGCTTGCCATCTCTTGCCATTTATCCTCTCTCTTATTTAATCTTGGTGCTTCCAGATCAATAAGAGCTACAGCTTCTTCATCAGTGATCCCTTCTTCCAAATAGAACTCCACCAGATGCAACACTTCTAAAGGACACATGTGAAAAAGGAGAGAGCAGTTATCCGCAAGAACTCAGAATATCTATAGCAGGCCTTGCCTAAGTCTTTTAAAGATTTACGTGTCCTCAGATCTCTACAGTGGCATTCTTCCACCTCCACACTCTCATTATTCAACTTAATATATCATATCCAGAAAATAAAGCTTCTTAAACGATTTGTGTTAATAAGGTGCCTCATATCTTCGTGGAGCCTCACCACAAAGTAATACATTCAATACTGCCAGGGCTGTGACATCAGAAGCAAAACAGTGGCCATTTTGCAGCAAAAAAAATCTCACAGTCTTGGACACCAGAATCTGTTCTATTCAGAAAGCGACTAATTGCCTAGAAAACTGGTGTTCTCATCCACCAACAAAATGCGTCATCTCTGGGGTGGGATGTGGCACTAATTCAGTGCAAGCAACACTAAAGAAAAAAAATTATTTCTCCAAGTGACACTACACAGGACACTCCATGCATCTGAAGAAGTGGGTTTTTTACCCATGAAAGTTTATGCCCAAATAAATCTGTTAGTCTTTAAGGTGCCACTGGACTCCTTGTTGTTTTTACACAGGAAATGTTAGGGTGGCAGAATTTATTGGGCACCAACCTACTGATTAAATATTGATAATGTACAATTAACACCAACTAGCTGAGCCTTTGGAGAAAGCACAGATTTATCTGCATAGAAAGTATAACCGATTTTTATTTTCCAACGCACCGTAAGATGAAGCAGAGAAGACGAAGGGCTGTCTGCAGTTAATGCACACATTCCCCAGATTATTTAGCAAGGGGTTGTTGGTGGAGCACCTATAACACAAGGGCACAAGCTCCTGCAAAGACAGACACACACAGAAAGCAGCGTAATTGCAAACAGACCATTCTGAACACATAGGGTCTGATTACACACTGCACTGCTCCAGTTTTACACCAACAGAGTTCACATAGCAGCAAAAAAATGGAGTAACAATGGTGAAATCAAGCGTTTTAACTTTTGCAAATATTTTTCCTTCTCTCAATAAATCAACAAGTTTTCCCATTAAAAATAGCTGTTTTACCACTCTTCTGTTGCAATTTTGTTTGCTTCTGCTGCAGCAGAGTCCTGGGCCACATACAGATTGCCAAAAGGATGAATAAAGGTTACTGAAGCAATTCTTTTTGCTCAGAAGTTCGATCAAATTTAGGTCCTTTGATTCGTGCATTTCTGTTTTTTCTAAACTGCACAATTATCTTAGGCAGCTCTACCGATTTCAATGGTCTTACTGTGTTTACATTATTGCAGATAACAAGATGCATATTCATTTGCAGTTAAGCATTTTCACAGTACAATTTGTTTTAGTGAGCATCCCATCAAAAACAGTTTTATAGAACACTGCAGTCACACTTCAGCTAAAGAAAAAAAGAAGGTTTTAAAGCAAGATTTGAGGAAGGAAAGCCATTCAAAGGGTTGGAGAAAGGGAGCTCTAGTAGTTGGGGCAAGCACAAGTGACCTCCAACTGTAGACAGACACAGAGAAAGACCCAAGTAAGCACTCTGTGGAGTAAGGGCATATGAAATTGAGGGACGGTGCAGCTTGAAGGAACAGAGTGAGTAGACAGGGAAATAGGGGGATATCAGAGAGTGAAGAAGGAACCTATCCATACAGAGAGGTATAATTTTCATTGGGAATGAAGAGGGAGAGAAAGTCTGACATGGCGAATAATGGTGAGAGGATTTTGTTTCCTGCAGAAATGTAATTACCGCAAATCTGTGCATAATCCATTTTAAGCATCTTTGTGCGTATGACAAAGTAGCCTCTTGTATCAGGTCAAATACTAATAATTAAAATAATATATATCAGAACTTACTTCACTGTCATGGAATGGCTTGGATCGGATTGTCAGGCTGCCCAGCTCAATTGATTTTTGAAATCTAGCTGGGATCTTCAGTCCCTGCAACTTGTCATAGGCATGACGGGCCAATTTATATGCACCCAGAGCTTTGCTCTGCTTTGCTAGTGCAAATAATGTATTGCTATAATCAAATTAAGGAACAAACATATATGTAGCAGTCAGGAAAAACCACAGTTACTTTTAATCAGAGAAGTTATGCACTGAAGCACAACAAATGTCAATACTTTAAAAGGCCTTAACTAAAGAAATCTGTTCACATAAATGTGTTTACATAAACAAAATGTGAGAGGACTGCTAAAATACCAGAGTGGATGATTTTTAGAGAGATAAGGAACTGGCCCATGGATAATGCAGCTTCAGGTACTATTCTGACCCCACCAACATTAATGCTTGTAAGGACCATCCCCCACGCCGATAATATGAAACATCAGAATCCTGTTGGCACCATGTGGATATTTCAGATCCCATGGCACTTTTCCAGGAACTTGCTCCCATGTCTTATACCAAAATGTCTCCTCCCCTTATTAGTGTGGACCCCAGGGGGTAACAAATAAGCAGAGATGTATGGATAAAACACTCTAAATTCTAAGCACTTTAGGGACAATAATGCTATTCTACATAGTTTATAGATGAGAAAAGAGAGACACAGGGAAAGAAAATGACTTATCCAAGGTTACAAAGCAAGCAAATGGAAAAGAGAAGTGGAACCCAGGTGTCCTGAGTCCCACTTAACTGCCCTATCCACTGAACTGCCCTGACTCCTTTTAACTGCTATTCTCCAGTGCAGAAAGAGATGTTTCAGTGGGACTCATATGTAGTTTGTGAAGGACTTTGAAGAGATGCAGCATATAAATTTGTTAATGAAGCCATGAAAAAATTGGTCTTGTACATGGCACACAGCTACATCAGACCTGAAAATGAGAATCTGAATCTACCATTTAGAAACACATAGCTACATTAGCCTGAGGAGAATCAGAATCTATCAGTTAGAAGCAACAACATTCAGAGTTTCTCTCCCAATGCCTTTCAATTTGTGGCTACTGCACTGTCAATATTTACAACCACACATCTTGTTTGGAGACTGGCATCTTGGAAGGAACTCCTCTTACAAAGGTGAGCAACATGTTTGATAGTTTATGATAGCCTCTTCTAATGTATGCACGGCTATGTATGGCTAGATGTGCCTAAGTCTGTGATAGTTTTGAGGTGTTTATTATCATCGGAGGGATTAAAGACAGCCCCACATTTATTTTCTCTAATAGATGAACAGCATGGGAACCCCTAAAACCAGGAACAAGAATACCCTAATAGTAAGACTATGCATCACTAATTGGTGCCAAGGATTCCCTTCAATTCATATGATAATTTTTGAATTTTGCTTTGCATTACAAGGATACACTTTAGAGATGCCCAACGGAGTCTCCTTCGTTAGGCTGTGAAGTAAAAACCTGGAAATATTGAAGAGTGTTTCAGGCAAATGGAAACTGAACGGCTCTTCCTGTGGTAAAAAGAACATTAAAAAATTTCTAAGCTAGAAAAGCAACACTTCATATCACTAACGTTACTTCCATCATCTCTGACACTACACTGTGCTTTTCACACAATCACAACAATGGGAGAGATGGAGAAAAGAGAGCAATTGGATTTTGCATGCCCCTCTTGCCAAAGCTCATCTTTGCCACTGAAGAAAAAAGGAAAGGGCTTCACCCAGTAGAGGGAAAGCACTTAAAGGATAATCCAGTTCCAATCTCCTCCATAGGAGTAGTGGGCCCAGAACACAGTGGAACCAGTATGCAGATGGGGTGGTGAAGGAAAGCCTTCAAGTCCACATCCACTGTGTGCTGCAAAGCATAGCTCTGCAGAGGCTCTTTCTATGTCACAGAAAGGTGGTTTTAGGGGTGGAATGGTGGTAGGTCCAGTACAGTACAACACAGGGCAAAAAAAAAAACCAAAACCAAAATTAGATCATTGCAGTGACACCAGCTTCCATTCAATATTTAGTTTAAAAGTAATTAATTGTTTCTAATTATTCCTGATTTATTTGCAGAAAATGTGCCAGCTAAATGAACAATACAACTGCTAGTGAAAATATCTTACAGTGTATCTGTGAATAGAGTGATAGACGTGATAAAGTTCTGCCAAGTGCTGGAAGTGGTGAAACTTCTGTAACATTTCAGTCTTCTGCTGTTCGTTCTCTGTGGGAGGGAAAGTCATTACACCTCTGGTCATTCTATACTAAAACATAAGAGTATTACTCAGCTAGAAAGATCACAATACAACATGGTTGCAGCGTTACCACTTCCAATAGATTAATATACCTGACCAAGTGTGCTACAAAATATGAGTTATGTAATTTTGCCATTTTATGTGCAATTTTCTGCTTTAACATAAAGCATATTAAGATGCAGGATGGTATGGCAAGTGGTTTTAACACAGCCAGAGGTTAACGGCTTAGCTAGAGGTGGAACATATTAGCCTTCCACCACTAGAAACCTGATCCACATCTTTTGAGGTTAAAGTAAAATGAGTCTAAAGTCATTCCTTTTATCCACATTAACACATTACTAAACAATCGAACCATTTGCAGTGTTTGTACAGTGTATGAAGGGCTATAGATCAGCACTATCATGCATTAGCAAAACTGAAGTGATGCTTACACAGTGCAAGGCAATAGGCCATCAATCTCTTTTTTCCATTATCACTCATCTACATCTCATCTCCACTGGCTCCACCTCTCCTCCAGTGCAATTGATTTAGAAGCAGAGAACTAATGAACACTAACTTTCTTCTTTGGCAGGCTAAAATAATTCATGAAGTGTCTCCCCCGTTAATCTCATCCACATTTAAATATTATGAGTAGACTACACTATAAGATCATGTTTTATTATTATTTAGCCCTCCAGTCATCACTTTATCCAAGGTGTGAGGCGCAGGAAAGGGGCTAGGGGATATATTGTGGAATTAGGAGACATGGTTGTGACTCCATTTTGATTTAAAAATGAGACTTATGTTGTTTTTTTTATAAGCACACAAAGACTAGAGAGATAGAATTACAATACGATATAATGTTGGATTACAATACAGTGCAGTATATAAGTATTAGTATATCAGATTAGTATATAGCACAATTAATGAGCGAGCAAGAGGTTTTAATTAAGCCATCGCAGTTCAATATTTATCTGCATGCATGAGCAGGTAACAAATTTGAACTTGCTTGTGTTTACTTACCTTGGGCTATATCTAAACACTGCATGGAGAGCATCCAGTAATAATACGCTGCATCATTAAATCGGCTTTCGACCACAGCATTGTGAGTTAGCTGTTCCAGCACTTTTACGGCCTCACTCTGTCTGCCAGCCTTGTGGAATGCTGCAAAGGAGACCAAAACAAAGAAGATTTTACAGTGTGATTATATCAATTAACTGAAATTATTTTTTTAAATTAATAACAGGATATTCATCAAAGCTGGAACAGGATGAAAAGGACTACACTCATATTTTTCTACTTTTGAAAGTGGTGACACCAATGGAAAATAGAAGTATCTGCAGGTACTTTGTGGCTTTTGTATTGTGTCAGGACACAATGTACGAAATACAACTACCATGTACATAAGTAGCGCGAGGCTAGTTACTTTTTAAAAAAAAATTAGACAGAGGAAAATCATCATCCTGATGATCAGACATTTGTGAACAGGGGAAACTACTGAACACTGTGGGATCAAGTCAAAATTCAAATCTTCTAAGACCTGGTCTATACCTAAAAATTAGATCGACCTAGCTGTTCAGGGCTGTAAAAAATTTTACACCCTCTGTGATGTAGTTAGGTCAACCTAACCCCCCCTTTGGTTGAAGAATTCTTCCATCAAACTAGCTACCACCTTTCGGAGAGGTGGATTAACTACACTGATAGAAAAACCTCTTCTGTAGATGTAGAAAGTGTGCTGTTGTAGCCACTAAAGTACAGACATAACCGAAGGTAATATTTCAAGGCAGCACTCTTACAATGCTCAACACTGTAGTATCAAAGAATCTTGAGAGGCAGAAAAACCACAGTATATATTATTTATTAACAGAGTTTCTTTACATTGGCTCCTGTGCAGAAACTGAAGTTCAGCCCTGAATTCCCACTTGGTAAATGTATATTTTACAAATACTACATGCAGATAATATTTTATGATAGAAATCCATAAGAAGCAAGGAAATTCATAAGCAAGGCTGATGTTCCATCTTGTATGAACTACATACTGCCTAAATATAAGGGCCAGGCTCACCCCTTCTTTTGATGTTTGTTCAGTGTCCAGTACATGTTGGATGACACTTTAAAGGAAAACATTGATAATAATACAGTGTATATAGTGTATCAGATCACTTTTCAAAACACTTGCTATACTCAAGCACAGAGTGGGAAAGAAAATCCAGAATTATAGCCTTTTTATATATGCTATTGCTTTTGTTAAGTTTGTTATATTTCCTTACCAAATAAATAAGACCTCTCTGCTAACCAGAATATAACCTCCTGTGATCAGCAAGAACACATGTATTCTCCAGTTCTCTCACCCTTTACATGGTTTGTGTTCTACAGATTGACAGTTCTCCAGGGCAGAGATTGCATCTTCAGCATTTGGAAAATGCTTAGCACATTTTGCATGCTACCAGCATATAAGTCATGTACAGTCCTACCTTTTTGGGCCTCTTCAAATCTATCATTCTCTGCCAGCCACTGAGCATAAGGGACATAGACATCATCTTTAAATTCAGGATGCTTTTCACTCAAAGAAAAGGCCTAAGATACAGAATGAATTCATTAATAAAATATTGCATGGTTTAAGGTAGTTCAGAACACTGCATGAGATAAATCCTTTAGTTAAAATAAAATTTACAATACAAATATCATTTATACAGAAGTATGAAAATTCCAACCAGTGTTTTCTCCAGGAAACTCAAAACTAATGATTGCCTTTCTTTTAAAATACAACATCTGTGAAGAAGCAGCTATACTTAGTAACAGTCCAGTTTCTGAACTGCAGAAAACTGTGGAAAACCTGAAAATAATAAATTATTTAGGGGATGGAGTGGGTTTCACAGCACAATACAATGTATTTATTTTTATTGAATATATTTTCTAAAAAACCAGTATTGACATGTGCACTGAACAATCACAGACTAAGCATAAAATGTTCAAGAGCACCTATGTGACTTAAGCGTCTAAGTCCCACTGAGTGTTTCAATGGGATTTAAGTGCCTACATTTCTTAGGGTAAAATTTTCAAAAGCACCTAACAGCCTAAATCCAGCATATACTTCATGTTAAAAATAAACAAACTCACAACCAAAAACAAGACTGCCAGTACAAACCACGGCCCCCAATCCTGCAATGCTTATGTGTAGGCAGACCCCTGTAACCAAGTGTTGTCCTAATGAAGTCAGTTGGGCTTTGCCTAAATATAAATCTGATTATAGGATCAAAAGTCCCCACCAGTAAAGTGTGAATTCACCAGATCCAGATTATACACAGGAAATTTCACTGAAATGGCACTTTCAAATTACTAAAACAACACAGCCCAAAATAAAAATCCACATTGTGAAAGTTAAAAAGGACATCCTTTAAAAATTGGAAGTCAAATCATACTGAGGAAAATAGACAGGAGCGTACACTCTGCCAAGTCAAGTGTGAAAGTTTAATTAGGCAGACCAAAAAAGAATCCGAAGAGCAACTAGCAAAAGACACAAAACTAACTGCAAAAATTTTTTTGTAACTATGTCAGAACCAGGAACTCAGCCAAACAATCAGTGGGGCCAAATTTAAGTGTTAAAGGAGCACTCAAAGAAGGCAAGGCCATTTTGGAGAAGCTAAATGAATTCTTTGCATCGGTCTTCACCGCAGAGGATGAGAGATTCCCATACCTGAGCCACTCTTTAGTTGACAAATCTGAGGAAATGGCCCAGATTGAGGTGTCAATAAAGATGGTTTTGAAACAACTGATAAAGTAAACAGTAATAAGTCATCAAGACAAAATGGTATTCACCCAAGATTTCTGAAGGAACTCAAATATGAAATTGCAGAATTACTACAGTAGCACCTCAGGGCAGCGAGGCAGCTTCCTTCCCTGGCCTGGGCAAATTTGAGTCCCCCTCCTGGCTAGGGTAGAGGGGATGGGGTGAAAATAGCACGTTCCCCTCCCAGCAGAGGGGTGGGTGGGTGGGTGTGTGTGTGTGTGTGTGTGTGTGTGTGTGTGTGTGTGTTGAAAATAGCGCCCCTCCTCCCCTCAGCACGCCGGCTTACAGGAAAGCAGCACAGACCCCAGTGCTGCTCCTGTTCTGGCTGACAGTGGGGGCTCACATCTTTGCCGGCTAATCTCAGCATCTTCACTTCCTAGCTGTATGTGGGTCCCTCACATGTGGTGGAGTAGGGGTGGGGATAGGCAGCCCAGATGTGCCTACCTTTAAGATGCAATACAGGCACAGTACTTTGTTTGTTTTTGATCTCTGCTGCTGCCTGATTCTTTACCTCCAGTTTCACGTGGTGTCCGGTTGACCCCTCAGTCCGTAACTCTGGTGTTTGTATCTTTGAAGTTCTACTGTAACTGTGGTACATAACCTATTGCTTAAAACAGCCTCTGTACCAAATGACTGGAGGATAGCTAATGTAACGTTGATTTTTAAAAAACATGCCAGAGGCAAACCGGGCAATTACAGGCCAGTAAGCCTAACTTCAGTACCAGGCAAACTGGTTGAAACTACAGTAAAGAACAGAATTATCAGACACACTGATGAACACAATATGTTGGGGAAGAGTCAACACAGCTTTTGTAAAAGGAAATCATGCCTTACCAATCTTTTAGAATTCTTTGAGGGGCTCAACAAACATGTGGACAAGGGTAATCCAGTGAATATAGTTTACTTGAACTTTCTGAAAGCTTTTGACAATGTCCTTCACCAAAGGCTCTCAAGCAAAGTAAGTAGTCATGAGATAAAAGGGAAGGTCTTTTAGTAACTGGTCAAAAGATAGGAAACCAAAGGGTGGGACTAAATGGTCAGTTTTCACAATGAAGAGAGGTAAATGGCAGGGTCACCTAGGGATCTGTACTGGGACCACTGCTGTTCAACATACTCAAATGATCTGAAAAAAGGGGGTAAATAGTGAGTTGGTAAAGCTTGCAGATTATACAAAATTACTCAAGATAGTTAAATCCAAAGCTGACTGAGAAGAGTTACAAAGGGATCTCACAAAAATGCATAACTGGGCACCAAAATAGCAGATGAAATTCAATGTTGGTAAGTGCAAAGCAATGCACACTGGAAAACATAATCCCAACTATACATACAAAATGATAGGGTCTGAATTAGCTGTTACCACTCAAGAAAGAGATCTTGGAGTCATTGTGGATGGTTCTCTGAAAACATCTGCTCAATGTGCAGCAGCAGTCAAAAAAAGCTAACAATGTGAGGAACCAATAGGAAAGGAATAGATAATAAGACAGAAAATATCATAGTGCCCTATTATATAAATCCATGGCATGCCAAACCTTGAATACTTCATGCAGGTTGGGTCACCCCATCTCAGAAAAGATATCAGAATTGGAAAAAAGTACAGATAAGGGCAACAAAAACGAGTAAGGGTATGGAACAGCTTCCACATGAGGAGAGATTAAACAGACTGGGACTGTTCAGCTTAGAAAAGAGATGACTAAGGAGGGATATGACAAAGGTCTACACAATCATGAATGGTGTGGAAAAAGTGAATAATAGGCAAAGAAATTAATAGGCAAGTTAAAAAACAAAACACAAGGAAGTACTTCTTTACGCAACGCACAGTCAACCTGTGGAACTCATTGCCAGGGGATGTTGGGAAGGTCAAAAGTATAACTGGGTTCAAAAAAGAATTAGATACATTCATGGAAGATAGATCCATCAATGGCTAGTAGCTGAGATGGACAGGGATGCAACCCCATGCTCTGGGTGCCCCTAAGCCTCTGACTGCCAGAAGCATGGACTGGATGACAGAGGTGGATAACTCGATAATTGCCCTGTTCTGTTCATTCCCTCTGAAGCATCTGGCACTGGCCACTGTCAGAATACAGGATACTGGGCTAGCTGGACCACTGGTCTGTCCCAGTATGGCCATTCTGATGTTCTCATGTTAAAGATTTCATTATTCTCCTTGACCTGTCATGCATTTGTCTCACAATTTTGTGTCATGTAGAGCGTATCACATTTACAAAACAGACATTTATGCTTAAATATTAGTCAAATACCCACAGAGACCCTTACCAGTAGGGAAGTATTAGTCTCATCCTGATTTTACAGACGAAAAAAGGATTTAAGCCCTACATTTTCAAGAGTGGTGAATAATTTTTGGTGCCCATCTTGATACTTATGGCCTGATTTTCAGAGCTGTTGAGTACCCACTGCTACCTTTGGCTTCAGCTGGAGTTGTGGGGGCTCAGTGCCTTTGAAAATCAGGCTAAAAGAATCTCAACCAGGACACCCAGAAGTAGGGACCACTTCCGATAAGCTAGGTCCAAGTGATTTGCTCAAGATCAGGTAGAAAGTCTGTGGAAGAGCATGGAAAAGAACCCAGTGTCCCAACTCCTTGTCCAGTGTCCCAATTCCTTGTCCTGTGCTCTAACCACCACACAATTTTCATTACTGAAACACTAGTGAAGAATTATTTTAAAGTGAGATTTTTAACTGTGCTTATTTAGATTATGAAAGAGTTAAAAAAAAAGAGTGGAAGGAAACCCTGTAGCTGATGATGTATGAAACTGTAATGTTTTCATAGTTCACTCTCCTAAAAATACCACATTAGTGTATTTTACAATGTAGCTTACCAAAATACTGAGTAAGCTGTATATAAACCTTTAAGACCAGATGCATTCAGAGGCAATACAAAATAGCAATTCTAAACATCTAAGTTTGGATATCAGGGTATTCTTACTTCTTCCCAACGCTGAGTTTCCACATGGAGATGTACCAGGGCCTTTAGGTCACCTATCTTCATGTAGGTTTCTGCTGCATAACCATGGTTGTCAAGTCTCTTAAAATAGTAGGCACATTTTGACAAAGGTTCACGCTCAGCTTTATCCAGTTTCCGAGCTATATCAATTAACCTAGAGACAGCAAAAGAAATGCAGTTGCCTTAGTAGCAGCATTTTTCTCTCTGCATACTTATTACATTGAAAAAATGGAAATATTTCAATAGGTTATCATTTAAAAGTTACTATATTGATGACATTATACTATTAACTTATTGGGAAGCATTCAATGGGTGTTCAAGAGGCTTTGCAAACACAAGACCAGTTGCTGCAACAGTGTGTAATTCCTTACTCCTGTGAGTAGTTACTTCAATTGGACTAGACTACTCCATCACGCAGTCATATGAATAGGGGTTGTGGAACCAGGTCCTATACAAACCTCACCCAACATCCAAATCAGTATCCAATCAATATTACCCCCATTTTACAGATGGATAAACAGAGAAACAGAAAGGTTAAGTGACTTGTCCAAGAGCACAAAGCAAGTCAGTAGCAGAGCTAGGACTAGAACCCAGGGGTGAGATCCTGCCCCCATTGAAGTCAATGGGATTTTTGCCACTGACTTCGAAAGGAGACAGGATTTTACCCCAGGAGTTCTGAGTCCTAGATTATTATCCCTTCATAATTTAAAATAAAAGAAAGAGGCAAGTGCATATGAGTAGTAGTGCGCTACTGTGAAGGTTATTCTGAAGAGACCCAGGATATACACATTTTGGGAACATTCTCATCTCACAGATAAATCCTTGCATATCCCTGCACTGTTTTATCCACTCATTTTGTAATGTATCCATGTACTTACCTCTAAACCCAAATAACTTTTCTAACATAATGAAAGTTCATCTACTATAACTATAGGATAGGTGATGCTATACTGCAGTCAACATATGTAAGCCAAAAAGGGAGCAAAGTCAGTAAGATTTATTTTTCTTTAAGATTCTGCAGAATGCATTAAACTTCACATTAGACACTGTGATCTGTATCTCTGAGACAGAGCTAAAACATACATATCAACCCAGCCATGGTCTCCACTGATTTCTATGGCCTTCATGTGCTCGCCTGCAGAAATGTACATCTCCACTGCTGCTTTTGGTTCATTGATATTCTTGGCCCAATCTGCTTGTTTTGTGATTAGCATCTTAGTGTCTTTGGGATCTCCAGACCCAAGGAAATCCTAAGGAAGTGCAACAGATAACATTCTGGATTAAGCTTTCTGTAGCAAACATTTTGTCATGGTCCTAATTTTAAAGCATGTTAAGCAAAAATAACTTGGTATGGAAAAACAAAATTTAACACAACTTTGCCTCCTCAGCTAAAAATCAAAGTACACAGAGCACCAAGCACATATCTGAAGGCAGGAATGATTAATCATTAACTAATGCACTTGAGATTGTATAAAAAGTCAAGATATATCTCTAGTCCCAATCAGATTCAAATCAGAGAAGATGGGACACCCTGGGAAGATCAAAGGAAGGATTATATAGAACTGTGCCTCTGTTCAGAGGTAATGTATATACACCCATTTGCTTTCATGGAAAGTTCTCTCACTCTGCTGACTGACCTTCCCCACTGAAGGGGACGTGAAATTTGATTTTCGTCTGTTCTCCAGGAACCTGCCAGAGAAACTCAAAAAGAAGTAGTATTGCTCTCAAATACTACTCTCAAATGCTCTCAAAGTTCAGTCAGGTCAAATCCAAGAGTTCCCAAAGTCTCCTCTGCTGGCCATGAAGGCATACTTTAATTCTGAAAATAAATCCAGTTCCTTGTTGGATTAGTAATGGCACATCTTCTTAATCACAGGTGCTTAGCCTCAGGATGACCAGTCACAAGGCCATCAGAGGTTGGAATCTTCTCTTCAACAAATATAATTGATAATCTTGCAATGACATATGATATAATATTTTAATGACGACTTTTTACAAGGACAGCATTTCAACTGCTCATAAATTAGTTGGGACTCTGAAATACTGGTCTTGTTGAATCTCTTACATAATAATGTCAAGTATCGGGGGGTAGCCGTGTTAGTCTGCATCTGTAAAAAGCAACAGAGAGTCCTGTGGCACCTTTAAGACTAACAGATGTATTGGAGCATAAGCTTTCATGGGTGAATGCCCACTTCGTCGGATGCAACATAATAATGCAAATGCCATCTCTAGATACTACACATAGATACTACGATGATGACTACTCTAGAAATACTTATGACTGATTGATGAATCTCCTCTGCTGGGAATAAAGCCCAGGCACCAGGACCCTTTACAACAACATTCGTTGAAATTAATGTGCCAGATAAAGCATACCTGAACATTGCAAGACAGATCAAGGCAACTTCTGGCTGTTAACAAAATAGGTTATTGTATATTACAACAGCCCTCTAGTAATCATGAATATCACTTGAGATGTAAAAAAATTAGGAGCATGTAGGTGGGCAAGGAAGGGGGAGAAAAGAGAAAAAACAATCCTCTGGCAGATCCTGAGGTAATGGAAAATCTGAACCACCAAAGGAGAACTTTACAGAGTCAGAAGACCAACCGAGTATCTTTCCTGAGCAAGCAATCCAAAAGGGGCAGAATTATTATTTCTATATATCATCTTTGCATGTGGAACATAGGCCAGTAAGATTTTGCACAAATTGATTCTGCTTAAGATGCACCCACAATTCTGCTGAAGATAAAAGCTACAAAGATCACTTGATCTTGTTTCAACATTAAAAAGCCAAAGCACAGAAATGAGTGAAACAATAATTTGTCCGGTGTAATTTGAGTTCTAGCTCAGATCACTGAAATATATTAGAAACAAAGTTCAATTTCCTGAGCTGCAGTTAATTATTTGTGAATTTTCAGTAATTTGTGATCTGACATTCTGATGAAATGCCTACAGCCACATTTTCAAAAGTTTCCCTGAACTCCGCCCATAGTACTGGTTTTCTAGCTGTAGCCAATCAGTGGTCATTTTCAGTCATAAGGAGCCAGACCCTACAAATGCTTAATGATGGCAGGCATAAAAATCACATTTCCATGGATGGATAACTGGCAAGCAAGGAAGTTCTCCATTCAGAGCCCTCGTCTTTGTACCATCGTCTATGGGCTTTCTTCATATGCTGTTAAGTACATTTATTTTCCTCTACGTGGAATTACTCTTGATAGGAGAGAAGACTTTTTACTCTATACTAGTTAAGTGGCCATGATTATTGCCAAGAATCAAAAAGATTCATAGGAGCAGCAATGGGAAACTTTTAGTCTATGAATTAGATTTATGTTTCTGAAGAGCCAAAACTCTGCAGCCAAAAACAGTGATAGTCAGACTTTCATGAGCAAAGCCCTACAATGTTTTAGTGCAGACTCCACAACCTGTTAGAGAATTTTTTTTTCCCATGAGCTTCATATAGTTTATGTGTGTGTCATAGTAAAGTCCTTGTCCTGTGGTGTATAGAATGAGGCTGTGATGAGTGACGAATGAGACTAAACAGTGTACTCATTCTCAGGGATTTGATAAGAAAATACTATATAAAACTTGAAAGCCTAATAGTGCTTTCTTATCACCACATAAAAATGCCACTTTTTTCAAACTGTGTACAATTTATTTCTGTATGGGAATGAAAAAAAAAAAAAAAAAACAGATTTGATCTCGGAAAGCAAATTTTCGGGTAAACAAAGATGAACTAGATTAGTACACTGTGCCCTTTGCAAAACATGTTAGAGAAAAACAACCATAACAGCTACACTAACTCAAGGTCAAACTGAAAGGAAAAAAAAGATTTAAAAGAATTTTCTTAAAGTAAAGTACAAAGGTGAATTACTGACAGGTAGATTCATTAATTTCTGCATGTAACAATCAATTACTCTTAAAAGAAGAAAACTAAGGATAAAGGGCTCTTTCCAGTAAAGTAACATGAAAGAAGGCAAGAAATATAAAAATTAACTCTAGGCCTTAACTACATAATTTTCTATTTATCATTCCATCCAATCATATGGGGAAAAAAACTCACCCATGGTAACATCCAGGGGATGTGACAAAATCACCCACTGAAAAGCTAAAACAGCTTCATGGCAGCATATTGGAGAAAATACAGAACACAGCACTGCTGCATCTGCAAATTCTATTTTAGAAAAGGGTCATGATGTACAGAGTTTTTATAAAGGAGAGGCCCATCTTTTTCACTTGTAAACCAAACAAATTTGATCTGTGGCAATAAACATGAACCCCTACACTTAAGTTTTTACACAATGCTTTTCAGAGTAGAACCACACTTTGTAAACGTTTATAGTTGCATTAGCATTACGTTAATATTCTGTATTTAAATACTCAGTTGAAAACATTCATTACCTTTGCATAATCAAACATGCGTAAATCAGTGTACATATCAAGAGCGAGGCTCTCATGTCCACTCCTTCTGTATAGTTTAGCTGCCTCATGGAATTTTCCCTGGTAGGCATAAACATCTGCTAGAAATAGCTCATTGTTACTCTCTCCACGCTTCTTCCTCTCCTGGAAAAAATTAGGACAGGAAATATTCTACATAGCTACAAGCAGGACACAGGGTGGAAATAGCCACTGAAAAGTTAAACTATTAGGCTGACTATTTTAACTATTAATAAGATACAGTAATTAGGTCTCACCTAGATTTCTGGTAGAAATTCTTTACAATTAACAGATTAAATCCCATCAGTTAAAATTAAGGACAAACAAAATAAAATGGAAGGATAAAACATGATGGAAACTAATTTTTACAGATTTCATATGGAAGTTCAAAATACTGCTTTTTTTTTTAAATGAGTATTTGATAGAATCCGCCATTTTCTCCAGTGGAAATTTACTAAATCAACTCAAAACAAAATCTGGCCAAACTAGCAATATATGCTCAGAAAAGGCACAACAATGAACAAACAATGGTACTGTAGGTCATAAACAGCCTCACAAAGTATGACAACCTGCCAGTGAATCAGAAATGCCCAGTAATACAGTGTGCCCATCATGCATAAAAGCCCATTACCAGATACAGATATGTTCAATAACTTTGGAAACAGCTGCATATATTGTCCAGCCAATTAAAATGTCAATTCAGCAAAGCATTTAAGCATATGTTTAAATCCATACAAAACCATGAAGAAATTTCTGGAGGTCAATAACTGTCTGCTTACATTTTAGAATATATTCAATATTTGATTATCAAGTATTACAATTGGAAACACTAAAAAAGTAGTATTTTCTATTCCTTAAAATTAAGGCTCACTTTCTGTATTGCTAGTGGATTACCATAGCGAGTACCATAAAAATGCCAATTTTTAAAAAAATTAAATACTTCATGCTTTGCATCAGGCCTACCCCAGCACATTTAATTGTTACGTGGCATTGGGCATAACATACAAGCTGGTTGAAATCCTATTACCTAAGAGACAAAGAGAAGAAAATTTCAACTAAGAATTTCAAAGTCAATGCACAGTATAATCTAAAAAAAACCTCCAACAGTTTGAACAAATATAAATTTAACCACAAATGTATCCAATGAAACAGATTGAAGCTGAGAGATGAGAGTTGTTATAATTGATTGCTTCCTATCATGAAACATGTGTCCAGCTACCAGACAAAAAAACTGGTTTGTATACTACGGATCATAAGAGTTGGGGGTTAGGTAGTTAGGTGGGTGGGTGAATGGCTGGGTGTACACTACTAGAATACAAATAACATCTACAATTTATGATACCTACTCTAGGTATCTCAACTGCCTTTAAAAACAATGACCATAGCAACATTGCACACAAGTTTCACCATTCAAAAGTTATTTTAATTGAGAAGAAAGTTTGGCCAGAACACCTTGGTTATCTTTAACTTTTCAAAGTCTTATTTTAGCTCTCATTTCTGCAGAGACAGACAGGGGGATTTACGTGTATTTAGGTCATTTAAAACAAATGCTCCACTTATAAACCTTTTATCCTTTGGCAAATTGCCTCTCCCTATGCTCATGGAGTCACATGTAAGATACACTGCATTTAGTGGGGGCAATTTTCAGTGCAGTGCACAAGACTTTATTCACACAATTTCCTTAATGCATACTATATGGATAAATCCCGTTACAGTGATGAAACTGTACCTCAGTACAGTATATCCAAAAACAGGCTGTATGGATATACTAGATAGTGAATCAAATTGTGATCCTTTAATTGGAAGTCATAACATATTAATGCAATTCCCTTAAACGGCTTTCAGAATATTTTATAGGTCCAAGAAAAGGTATGTATTTTTCTATTTTGTCCATTTCTCTTTATCCATTCACCTGGACCCATTTTTTTTTTTTTTTTTTTCCTATTCAAGTTAAAGCATTCTTTCCTTTTTCATAAAACAATTAGTTAATACCTATGTCCCCAAATTCTGAACAGAATTAAGCTGCATTCTGTAATATACGTTTCACATAACACAAGTTGTGTGGCAAATTTATACCGCTCTGAAAATTTAGGGTGTGGGCATCTAGATTTATAAAATTATAATCCAGACACTCAGCTGGGGATCTGGCCTCCACTGACTTCAATGGAGCTAAGCCAATTTACTTCTGTTGAGGATTTAGCCCCTGGAAATGTATATTAGTCTGTTTTGTATAACATAAGAACATGACTTCCGTAATAAGCTACATTATAGGGGGTAAAATCCTTCATCCTGTTGTATAAATTCAATCCAGCACTGCCAAAGCAGATACAACCAACATCTTTAAAGATCGAAGTTATTAACTGTGCTGATATTTATTTGACTGGTGTGGAAAGTTTCGTTTATACAATTTGGGTTAAAGGAATAATCAGTCAAAGGAGTTTTTACACATTAAGTCTTTTGGAATTCAGATCCTTCAGAATCTTCAGCGAGCTTGCCAGGTTTAGAGTTTGGCACTTGCATTACCTAATGTCCCCAGTCAGACAGAGGAATGTGTCATTGGTGTGAGGAATGCTTCATATTAATGCAATTAATGCGCTCAGTTACCCCCTTACTGACCTGTAATGGAGTCCCCATAAACTACAAGCAAGAGTAAGCAGTGATGCAGCATACCAGAACTATTTCTATGAAGGAACTATGTCAAGGAGACTAAAAGGTAAGCCTATGTTTATTTAAAAGGGAAAGATTGCTAATCAAATAAATACAAACTGCAATGCTGCAATACTCTGGATAGGATCAGGAACAGCATCTATAGAAAGGAAAGAGGATGGAGGTGGCCAGAAAGTGTTTCCACTTCTCCCATGGACTCGGAAAAAATTAGGGTTCTGAGTGCAGCACTTCATCCTGTATGCCAATCATGGGGATTGTGATAAACGTTTAGCTGGCACTCTGACGGAAAAAGGACAGCTCTGCAATGCTGGAAGAAGGGGATTATATTCTTCTACAAGGGGCATGCACCTCAATTAATATTTGCATGAGAAATTCCCTTTATGTCATTTCAGTGTAGACCTGTACACTTTGTATCATCGTAATATCCAAGAGGAAGGTCAGAATAGTGCAGAGATTCTTTTATGTATGCCTATATACATAGTTATCGTACAACTAAATTCTATCAAGTAGTAGGGGGACAAATATGGCCTAGTGGTTGAGCACAGCATGGAAGTCAGGAATCCTAAATTCTATTTACAGTCATCACTGACATGTCATGTGACCTTGAGCAAGTCATTTTACCTCTCTATGCCAGTTTTCCCATCTGCAAAAGAGAGAGAATAATAATTACCCTCCTTCAGCAGGTGGTGCAAGGTTTAATTAACTCATGCTTGTAAAGTGCCTTGAACAGTGCTGCAACAGTCTACAGTAGTATACCAGTTATTAATTGGATATAGAAGCTCTCTCTGATTTTTCTTAAGAAGTTTTCAATATTCTCATATAGTTCACTTTCCTCTTCATATTTTTTCAACAAGTTTCAGTCATATGGTTGGGAATTTGACTTAACACTTTAAGTCAGCATTTTTCACTTTTCATACATCCATCATTCCTTTAATAATCAGGAATACTGATTGTACAGAAAATCTTTCCAAAAAGTAGCTTACTTAAGCTTAATTTATGTTTTTACATTTTATATTATATTTAACATTCTTTGTTTTACCTCAATGCTGCTGATCAGTTCTAGATACCGAAGATCTCGTACTCTGGTAAATGCCTGTTAAAGGAAAAAGAAAAGAAAAAAGTAGCCACTTTATTGGCTAGCAAGTTAATTGATTTTGTGTTATATATAAATCAAGTTGTGGAAATAACATCAGGATAGACAACCAAACAATATATTTATCTTTGTGTATATTGGGGAGACTGAAAACATGTCTTACTTTCTGTTTGTTTTAGTGCCTAACCCAATGGAGCTCTGACCATGATTGGGGACCCTGGGCACCACAATAAACAACAACAGGGTACTATCCAACTGTTTATTATTTAAAAGAAAGAGCACAGAAGGAGGCCAGCAGGCATATGCAGGTCAGCCCCCTGAAGGGACACAAACCACCAATTAAAATGTTAAACAGTTTTATTCTGGCTATTTGAGGACTTTTCACTTTAATAGTTAAGCATGCCACACTTTTAAGCAAAATAAGGAAAACTGTTCTGCTCATATGCTACAAGGCAGAACACAAGTAAGTGACAATGTTGATCAAGTATTCTACATATGCTTAAAGTTTTTATATCAAAGACAATTTATTGGATCCTTCTGAAAATTCAGTATGAAAGTAGAACAAACATATTACAATGCAGAGATAGAAAAGAAAGTTAGGACAGGGTAAGATAAAAGTACTGTGACACAGTGTAATATCCTTTGCCAGTTAAGATAAATATGCAAACAAAAGTCTCCAAGTGGCAGAGTCACCTATGGTTACAGCAGTTTAGCACTTACTTTTGACATACAATAAAACCCAGAAATTAAACTCTTCAGACATTGGGACGTTCCAGATCTCTAACCAATTAAATGCTTAGGAGGAATACATATTCTGCTTACCCAAGATCAGAAGAGGAAGAATGAGTCTTTAATGTCAAATTTTCTAGAAGCTGCCTTTGTTCAGGTTAATCAGCTCTAATTCAGAGGCCTGGTCTACACTCGGGGTGGGGGGAGGGGGGGAAGGGAAGGGAGGAATCGATCGAAGTTATGCAACATCAGCTACGTGAATAATGTAGCTGAAGTCGATGTACTTAGATCTACTTATCGCGGTGTCTTCACTGCAGTAAGTCGACTGCTGATGCTCCCCCGTCGACTCCGCCTGCGCCTCTCGCTCCGGTGGAGTACTGGAGTCGAAGGGAGAGCGCTCAGCGGTTGATTTATCGCGTCTTCACTAGACGCAATAATCGACCTCTGCCGGATCCATCGGTCTGGAGGTAAGTGTAGACATGCCCTAAGATGATGACAGTACTCATCTTCCACGGAGGCACTGAAAACGTCTTCATTTTAAGAACTATTTGCATAAAATCATCTATAAAGTTGCACAGAAAAAGTATAGTCCAATGCCTCCATTGATGAGAAAATGAAAAATAAAAACGTTTAGCTTCCTATGAAATCTTGTGTCATTACGTAAAGGATGCCTATGATTATATGCCCACTTCCAGTGTATTTTTTAAATAATTTTGTGTTTCATATGATATTGATGGCACTATATTTCTTTTGACCCTTTTGTTTCACAGATGGTGGTACAAAGACTTTACTCCATGGAAAACATGTACTCCAGCATCTCCCATTCCAGAGGCCATTCCCAAACAGGGCTACTCTAGCAGGAAGAAAGTGTGGCATTGCCACATATTTTCTATCTGCAAAGAACTGAGTGATGAACTAACATAAAGAAAGTACAGTCTCCACTTTCAAAGTGACATGCTCTAAAGAGGAGGGAGACAAAAGAATAGGAATATTAGCAGCAGAGTATTACAGGACAAAAACTAGGAGACAACAGATACATTTCAGCTAAGTGATTCCTTGCTGCCACCTAGTGAACAATACATGTAATACAACACTAAATCCTGATTCTTCCTTCTTGTTGAAATACTGTATCCTAATTTATTTATTAAACTCATTTCTAGAGTTGAAATGGAATTTTTTTTCAAGTTTTTCTTTATGAGTTTAAATAGCCAAAAATATAAAATCAATTTCTCTTTAGTGTAGGCCAGGGGTCGGCAACCTTTCAGAAGTGGTGTGCCGAGTCTTCATTTATTCACTCTAATTTAAGGATTCACGTGCCAGTAATACATTTTAATCTATAATATATAACTAAACTATTGTTGTATGTAAAGTAAATAAAGTTTTTAAAATGTTTAAGAAGCTTCATTTCCTCATTGGTCCTGCTTTGAGCAGGGGGTTGGACTAGATGACCTCCGGTGGTCCCTTCTAACCCTGATATTCTATAATTTAAAATTAAATTAAAATGCAGAGCCCTTCGGACTGGAGGCCAGAACCCGGGCAGTGTGAGTGCCACTGAAAATCAGCTCGTGTGCCAAAGGCGGCACACATGCCATAGGTTGCCTACCCCAGTGTAGGCATTAGATATTCTACATGTTTTTGACAGGAAGAAAAATGAAGCATCACAGTTTGGCTTTCATGATGTGCATAAGATCTTGAGTTGATACTTCATATTTAAAAAAAAACAGAAAAAGTATGTTAGATACATGAACCACAGCTCCTGGTGATATAATAGAAAGGTTAAATATGAAGAGGTTACAATGTATGTATACCACTTTTCACTTCAATCATGTGTTAATACGAAATTTCAAAATTCCTGTTGCACAAATAAATAAATGCTTTACCTTTTTAGCAGTTTCAAACTCTAGACCTTCTAAGGCCTCCATAGCCAGCTCTTTCCAGTCAGTGTCAGTTACTCCTAAACAAGCAATCTGATAGGCTTCTTTGAACATTTTCCGTTCCAGGTATTGATACATAGGAGCAGACTGAGGATTTCCATTAAGAAATCAAAAGCAAAATATTGAGATATATTAGTGAATGTATTTAGTGGATAAATCTGCTCATTTTCCAACCCCAACAGTTACAAACCCACTATGTAACCAATCTACTTTCTGAATTATAAACAAGAGTATACAAGGTATAATGATAGTTTTGACAATACAGTAATTTATTCTGTGAATTCCGTCATCCCTCTCCAACATAAGTACAATACAGAATAGGATAATTGAATTCCAAACCCTTTTGTCCTGAGGGCACTGTTTGCTAGGGTCTGAGATCCTACCAATTCAGTACAAGTATTGATGTAGTGCATTCCTTACTCATCCACAACTCCAAATGATGCAGATGACAGTTTTGGGAACACAAGAAATGCAGAATAATGTCCGGTGCTTACACTGATTCTTCCATTTTTTGGTTTTGGTGTTCATTTTTAAACCATTGTTAAGTATATGAAAACATGAAAAAAGCAGATTCATTTCTAGTGTCCACGGGCAAATCAGTTATACCCCACTAACTATATTACTTCCATTGTTTGTGGTCCTTCCCATAATACAGGAAGAATCGCTCATCTGATTGGCATAGAATCTACAAATACACCTCTATCCCAATATAATGCTGTCCTCGGGAGCCAAAAAATCTTACCGCGTTATAGGTGAAACCGCGTTATATCGAACTTGCTTTGATCCTCCGAAGTGTGCAGCCCCGCCCCCCCCCCGGAGCACTGCTTTACTGCATTATATCTGAATTTGTGTTATATCGGGTCCCGTTATATCGGGGTAGAGGTGTACAAACTGGATACACCTACAGCTTAGAACATTTTATACCACTTAAATATTGCCTAAACATATCCAAAAGGAGCAACAGCAGGTCATTAATAAGAGGGTACACGGCATGGGTAGAACATGGACATTTGAAAAATAACATGAAAAAAGTGTGTGTGGGGGGGGGAAAGATGTGCAGAAACTGTAGGCAAAATAAGTTTGTACAGAACCACATTGTCATTGTGGTTCAGTGCTTTTAAATTTAATGGATTTGTAAACAAAATGGGGGGACAACAATGATAATACGAGCGCGCACTTCAGCAAAAGAGAAGGAAAAACTCAGACACTTAAAGTTAATGAGTCCAACAGTTTTAAATTTTGCACAGCTCACACAAAAGGAACTAGACAGTGTTGACAGATCTGAATACACTAGGAGTTTAGATTACATTAATTTTGGTAATATGAAGCAGACAAGTTTCAGAAACATTCTTTCATTTTTTTAAACCATATTGTTCAGAAAACACAAAACATGGGTTAATTAGATTAAAAATTACCTGAGGAACTTCAACAGCTGACATAGAAAAAACATGAAGACAGAAAATCTTGGAGCCATTGTATCCCACAACAAAGCCTTGAAGTTTTTGCTGATGGACAGGAAAGTTACTAGCTTTGATGTTGAGGTAACCCCCTCCGGAAAAGCAAAGCATATCCTCACACTGTGTATTCCAAGCCACGCTATTAGCATTGGGTTCCTAATGAGCATATTATATGGGTGATTAAATTACTGTGCGACAAAATTAGATCTTTTCCCCTAAGCAATACATGGCCTTCAGCTAGACAACTGATTATGTTATAACCTGTATAAATGTATGTATTTTTTACACTAATTCTTTATGTTTAGGAATATACTGGTACTTAAAAGTTACAAATATTGCCACATTTTCACAGCACTTGCTTTATGCTTATTAAATTGCAATAATTTTGTCTAATATGTTTCTTATTTATCTTGCTCATCACCTTTACTCGTACATTAAATTAAAATCCTTCCACAAATGGACACTGGTTCCTAGCTATCAGAATCATTTAATCTTTAGTTCTGCTTTCTGGCATAAAAAGAATCTTATAGGTCCTATCTTAATAATACTTCATGCTTTCTATCCAAGGATCTACCTGAAAATACTTTACTAACATTAATGGATTAAGCCTCATGGAGGGACTATGTTAATTTCCCTATGAGGGAAGTATTATAATCCCTTTATATTAGGCAAAACTGAGGCACAAAGTGATTTAGGGTCTAATCCTGCTCCCACTGAAATCAACAGCAAGACCCCCCGCTGACTTCAATAATTCAAAGGGAACATTACATGGACCCAAGTGACTTGCTAAAGATCACACAGCAAGTGCATGGACGAGGTGGGTAAAAAACACAAATCTCCTGGCTCCCACTCCCTTCCCATCAGACAACACTCTCTGTAGGGAGCATAATGTATTAATATCTACAACATTCCACAGTTGATCTATTTATATTTGTATCAACTATTATGGATGTTATCTACATGTAAGAAACAAAAATCATATTCTGAATCCCTAGCAAGTTTCTCTCTTTTTTACAAACATTTAAAGATTTTGATTTCTTACCTGGAACAGCAGCTCTTTGGTATGAATATCATATACTAGGCAGGTGTCATTTTCATCTACCACTGCCAACTTGTTTCGGGATGCACTCATATCCAGACAGCGCACAGCTGTGGATTGCTTCAACAGGACAATTGCAAAAAGATTGTCCACAAATATCTTCAGAATCTGGACATATTTGAAGTCAAAGTTAGTCAGTCAAATTTGCAGTTACCAAAATTAGCAATAGAATAGTGGATATTAACTCTGCTGTTGAAAACAGAACTGTGATTACATATTATGAAGAAGAAATATTAAATATTAAAATATTAAATACGTAAGAACTAAAGCAGCTTGAAAATGCTTTCAAAGGCTTATACCCTTGCTTCTTTACAGTGTGCTAGCTTGCAAGCTAATGTAAACAAAATATATGCGACAACCTAGAATCTGTGTCATTCTACTTGTAAAAGTTACATTAATGCATTTATACTATGGTGATGAGCATAAATATAAATAGAACAAAGACTACATAGGGCAACAACCTAAATATTTAAATACTTGCTGTGCTGCACCCTCTTTGTAACCTCTATGCTGTATGTAACTCCAGAACTACAAAGAAACTGTCATTTGTGTTGTATGACAGTCTACAGTTTGGATACCAGTTTCCCCATTAACTAACTCACATATGGTATTATTCAATTTTTTATAACTGTAATTTACTAACATTAGAAAACATATAGTACTATATAAACATTCGCTAATGATAATTAAGGCTAAGATTTTGTCACATTTTTAGTAAAAGTCACGGACAGGTCACGGGCAATACAGAAAAATTAATGGAAGCTCGTGACCTGTCAAAGACTTTTACTAAAAATATCCATGATAAAATGGGGAGCTCAGCTGCGGGGTCTCCACACTGCCTGCAGAGGCTGGGCAGCTCCAGGGTCCCCCCACTGCCCACGATTTCCAGGGTCCCCCCTCGAGCTCTGGGGTCTCCCTGCCGCCCGCAGCATCCAGGAGCTGTGGGGGGCCCCCCCACTGCCCGGGATGGCTGGGAGCTCCAGGGGGCCCCTGCCACCCGCAGTAGCTCAGAGCTCCAGGGGGGCCCCTGCCACCCATGGTGGCAGGGAGCTGCGGGGTATCCCCACTGGGTGGTGGGAGTACCCCGCAGCTCCTGGCCGCTGTGGGCAGCAGAGGAACCCTGCAGCTCCCGGCCACCAGGGGTGAATTCACAGACGTTGCGGAAGTCACGGAATCCATGACTTCCGCAACCTCCGTGAAAAAAAGCATAGCCTCAGTGATAATATAATAGTGTATTTTAGGCAGTTAAACTACTGAACAGCCTTCAATAGATGATGATAAAATTTTTACTGCATCAGTTTCTGCCAGATTCTCTCTCCTTCCCTAAATCTGGTATTCAGAAGGTGGGATGTAAAGTTTTGGTAATATAAGGGTTTGGATAGCATCAAACTTCATGTGTGGTTTGTAAGCAAACTAAAGCCAAATATGCTACTTATACTGCTCCATTTCTTTTAAATATAATCATTATTTTAAAACAAATATTAAGACTGATGGAAGTTCATTGACTTTCAAAAGTGTGACAGGGGATCCCATTAAACAGATAAATAGTGGGACACCAATATTTACCACTCTCATATTCTTCTGCTGGCCCTGAGGCCCAACAGCAGCTACGAACTACTCTTCAGGAAAGCTCTTAAGTCACAATGCCATCTGCCAGGCAATTTTACTATTGCATGGTCACATGGCTATCCCATTGATTTTCTACTGTATTAAGTGGAAACCCATCAAATGGGTACTCCAAGGAAGTATTAAATGTATGCTTAATTTACAAAGAAACTAAGCACCTTTATATACAAATATCTTTTGTATTATTCTCTGCATTGGATATGGTTTCAATGTAGAATTACGCACAAACTTGTCTGATTGACAGTGATCGTCATAAAATAGCTATATGACAAATGCCAAAGGTCCATTTCTTATTGGGGGAGTCAGCTGTAGCAGAGTTGTCAGCGAATTGTAGGGAGCCATTTTCTGTATATACACTTCTCTTGAGGTCCACCTATGAAGCATGGGCAATGGGGAGCAATGTTTTTGTCTTCCAGGGTAACCTACAAGTGAGTAGCTAAAAAGAAAGAACGTGAGCCCACAGGCAAGAGATACAAATAAATGAGTTTTTTTGATTCAGGATTAGGCTCAGCCTGGGCCCATGGAATTCAGGTTATAAAAGTCTTTGCTGCTTCTATGGTCAGGCCTATGTATTTCTGTTCTGCTCAAAACAGTAAAACAGATTTTGCTCTGTACTTAAAAAGAGGCAAGTCAGTCCTAAAGCATCACCTGGCCGTTCTTCAGACCTACTAAGAGGCCTTCTCTTCCTGAAGGGCCTCCAATTACTTTAATGTAACGAATGAGAGACTCCATCAGCCACTCCCGCTCTTTAACACCATTAAATGAGAGGCACTGTAGTCTTTTCTCCTAAAAAATAAACAATTCTGTGATGTACAATAAACTACATACTGGTAAACAGAAAATCATGCCACTTTAGTGAAATGTGTTCATATCTATCCAGATATGCCTGTCTACATATATGTACATAGAAAACAAAAGACTGCGCGATACATGTCACATCAATCTAGCAGACAAAATATATTTTTAAAGATTTCTGATGATATCAAGCAGAATATCAAAAACCCCTTTTCTAGCACCTTTCATCCCAAAAGATCCCACAGCACTTTATAAACAGATACACAAACTACATACAGAGATCATTTCACTAAAACACAGCCATCAGTGAAAAGAGACACAGCAGCTGTTTAACTGGTTTGAGATTACATTACAGTACACATTCAATTGCATAATTGCATAATCCATTAGTTTTTTTCAGTATGCTAATCTTATTCTGCCATCCCTTTCAAACATGTGTACCCTTCTCTTACTTATCAAGACTATGTTTGACTTTCAAGTACGTACCTGGCATAAAATAATATGATCTGAACATACAACCAGCAAGTTGCATTCAAATTTCTTTGCTATCTTTTCCTTCACACGGTAATGCATGTCTGAGGAGTCATCTGAATATAATTCATAAATCAGGATTTTCTCTGGCAGCTGGATTGCTAATCTGTTTTTGTAGATTGCAATTTTCTTTACAAGTTCTCTGCATTTTATTCTAACTGAAAAGAAAGTAAATAAGAAAACATAGTAAGGTGCAGGGTGAAACTGAAATAATTTAATACCATGTTAAACCATGATTACAATTTAATCGTTACAAAACATTTCTACACTGAACAATCAACTCTACTGGAATAGAGTCTGTGGCTCCACGTCAAGTATAGGCTACCCATACATGCTACTGTTTAGCAGTAGGTCACAAGTTACTACCATTCATTACTTGTGAATGATGTACTATGATGCATGTTCCAATGTCTCTTCCCTGTTAGAAAACTGGGTGAGAATATTTTAAAAAATTGTGCTTAGAAAATGTTAGCACAAGTCTTCGATGCTGTTAATAAGAACCACCTTTACAAATATAATGGACTATACAGAATCTCACAAATTTCAGATAGAGATAGAGAGACTTTATTTTAATAGCTCTTCCCTCTCCTAATGACCTTTCAAATCCCCACTTCTTCCATTAAGTCCTTCCGTGCTGATCCTCCAGAGATATTTGCTCTACTTTATGTTTGCATTTTCACCCCATGAGTTGTATGCCTCAACCTTACCATCAGTGTTTATCAAAGACAGGAAGGTCCACGAGACAGGGACCATACATTTGAACATGCTAACAGCTATTAATAAAAATAATAATGAAAATGAAGCTAAGACTAAGACTTCAATGTAAGAGTGACACTACCTTTTTGCTCAGTAATTAGGTGCTGGACAATAACATCAGTCATGCTGTCCCTGTAAGCATAACGATCTTTATAGAGTCCATGGACTGTACTGAAAATCAGCTGATAAAAGGAAATTGTTCCATCCTGGCATCCTATCGCCTGAACATAAGGAGAAAGATCTCAAAAACTCATACAATCACCTACATGTGTCAACCAATGATAACTTATAAGCAACTACAAAAAACACGCATAAAAGTTAGGGCTGTAGATTAATCGCAGTTTTAATCGCACTGTTAAATAACAGAATACTAATTGAAATTTATTAAATATTTTTCAATGTTTTTCTACGTTTTCAAATATATTGATTTCAATTACAACACAGAATACAAGGTGTACAGTGGTCACTTTATATTATTTTTTATTACAAATATTTGTACTGTAAAAATGATAAACAAAAGAGACGTATTTTTCAATTCACCTCATACAAGTACTGTAGTGCAATCTCTGTCGTGAATGTGCAACTTACAAATGTAGATTTTTTTTTGTTACATAGCCGCACTCAAAAACAAAATGTAAATCTTTAGAGTGTACAAGTCAACTCAGTCCTATTTCTTGCTAAGACAAACAAGTTTGTTTACATTTACGGGCGATAATGCTGCCCTCTTCTTATTTACAATGTCACCTGAAAGTGAGAAACGGGCATTCACATGGCACTTTTGTAGCTGGCATTGCAAGGTATTTATGTGACAGATATGCTAAACATTCATATGCCCCTTCATGCTTCAGCCACCACTCCAGAGGACATGCTTCCATGCTGATAACACTCGTTAAAAAAATAACACGTTAATTAAATTTGTGACTGAACTCCTTGCGGGAGAATTGTATGTCTCCTGCTCTGTTTTACCCGCATTCTCCCATATATTTCATGTTATAGCAATCTCGGATGATGATCCAGCATATTGTTCATTTTAAGAACACTTTCACTGAAGATTTGACAAAATGCAAAGAAGAAAGTACTAATATGAGATTTCGAAAGATAGCTACAGCACTCGATCCAAGGTATAAGAATCTGAAGCGCCTTCCAAAATCTGAGAGGGACGAGGTGTGGAGCATGCTTTCAGAAGTCTTCAAAGAGCAACACTCCAATGCAGAAATTACTGAACCCAAACCACCAAAAAAGAAAATCAACCTGCTGGTGGCATCTGACTCAGATGATGAAAATGAACATGCATCGGTCCACACCGGTTTGGATCATTATTGAGCAGAACCCATCATCAGCATGGACGCATGTCCTCTGGAATGGTTGCTGAAGCATGAAAGGACATATGACTCTACCACATCTGGAACGTAAATATCTTGTGACGCCGGCTACAACAGTGCCATGCGAATGCCTGTTCTCACTTTCAGGTGACACTGTAAACAAGAAGCAAGCAGTATTATCTCCTGCAAATGTAAACGAACTTGTTTGTCTGAGCGATTGGCTGAACAAGAAGTAGGACTGAGTGGACTAGTAGGCTCTAAAGTTTTACATTGTTTTATTTTTGAATGCAGATTTTTTTTGTACATAATTCTACGTTTGTAAGTTCAACTTCCATGTTAAAGTGATTGAACTACAGTACTTGTAATGGGAGAATTGAAAAATACTATTTCTTTTGTTTTTTTACAGTGCAAATATTTGTAATAAAAAATAAATATAAAGTGAGCACTGTACACTTTGTATTCTGTGTTGTAATTGAAATCAATATATTTGAAAATGTAGAAAACATCCAAAAATATTTAAATAAATGGTACTCAATTATTAACAGTGTGATTAATTTTGTGATTAATCATGATTAATTTTTTTAATCGCTTGACAGCCCTAATAAAAATGCATGACATTTAAATGAACACTAAATCCCTTACGTTACATTCTCCAAAATAGCATACCAACTTTAGCCCTGATCCTGCTCACATTGTATTCAATGGCAAAACTCCCATCGACTTTAATGATCCAGGATGAGGCCCTATATGATCATGGATAAGGCTAAGTTTTTGTCATGGATGTTTTTACTAAAAGTCACGGACAGGTCACGGGCAATAATGAAAAATTCACAGAAACTCCTGACCTGTCCTTGACTTTTACTAATAATACCCAGTGACAAAATGGGTAGTCTGGGGAGAGACTAGGAGCTCCGGGGGTCCCCTCAACTGGCAGTTTCAAGCTGTGGGAGTCCCCCTGCCTTCCGTGGGGGCCGGGAGCTCCAGGAATCCCCCTTGCCACCACTGGTGGATGGGAAAGGTGGGGATCACCCCGCCGCCCTCGCCAGTCGGAAGCGGCGGGTCCCCCCCCTGCCTCCTGCAGCGGGGAATTCCCCCCTGCCCCTGGGTCCTCCCTGATGCCTGCAGCGGCTGGGAGCAGCGGGGATCCCCCCTGCCGCCAGCGGGGAGCAGTGGATCCCCACTGCTGCGCGCAGGGGCGGGGAGCGGCCATGGTCCCTCTTAACGCCCTCGGCAGGCGGGGTCCCTCTTGATGCCCGCGGCGGCCGGGAGCAGCGGGGATTCCCCCTACCCCCTGGTCCTCCCTGCTGCCTGCGGGGGTGGGGAGTGTGGGGGGGGTGCCCCTTGCCACCCGCGAAGGCCGGGAGCAGCGGGGGTCCCCTGCCGCCTATGGCGGCCCAGAGTGGCGGCGGGGAGCTGTGGGGCGCCCCTGCCTCCACAGGCGGCAGGGGATCCTGCAGCTCCCAACCGGCACTGGCTGGAGTCACGAAGGTCTTTGGAAGTCATGGATTCCGTGACTTCCATGACTAAATCACAGCCTTAATCATGGACACTTACTTATTTTTAATCACCACTCTTGGTCTACTGATTTCAAAAGGAGTTCTGCCACTGACAGATTATAGTATATATTGCCCCAAATGGTAACAAACACATTCTCCACAAGGCTCTTTAGTAGAAATTCTGAACCAGACAGCCTACTTGCACATCTACTTCCACTCATCCTATTGCATAGCCTCTCCAGTCACCCTATTTCATATATATCATCAAAGTTATTTTTAAATAAATCAACTACCATTTAAAAAATAAAATGCAGTAGATGCCTTACGTAGGCCAGTAAGCTTTATCCCCATTTATCACCTTCTTGTAGCCCAGGATACATTTCTCCATGACTATTTTTAACTTCAATGGGAGTTGAATGTGCTTACTCAGCAACATCTAAAGATTAGGCCACTTGTATTTAGCTGCCTCAGTAAGGATTTGGGTGCCTACATTTAGGTACCCAAGTTTGAAAATTGTGGCCCTACCATATGTATCTAAGGTCTAAGAGAAAAGCAATAAAATGTCCCCTCTTACCACATAATTGGAGTCTGGTTTAACTTTACATGTCCACACCCAGCTACTCTGATCTCCTATGGTACCGAGACGCACTCCATCCTTCGTGTAGAGAGAGACTTGCTTATCTGAGCCTCCCATTAATATATATTCTCCTTTGGAAAAATAGCTAACACAGCACGGATCAAAATTCAGCACCCTGTCCTTCCCAATCTACAAGACAAAATAGAGATCAAAGAAAAGGGTCATTTCATGTTTTCTGAGTCATGAAAAGTAGTTGGAAACTAGCAAGAGGATCTCCCCAGTGTACAAGGATCCTCAGGTGCCAAAGTTCTATCATACAGGCTCCATGACACCACCATCCCTTCAGCTAGTGGCAAAGACTTTCCTACACCCAGCAACAGCTGACAGTTGTAATAGCCCTCAGAAGCTACTCTAAGTTGCATCTGAGAACCAGCCTAGCCCAACACAGGTCCGCTCAGAATCAGGGTGATTTAAAAAACATTAATGAGTCTCCCTCTCATGAACTGTGCCAAGGACTCCACAGCTGCAGCTCAGGATCTGGGCCAGTAAACTGTCACAAACAGGGCGTCCTTACCCATAGGCAAAGTTCCTGGTGCCCTGCGCAGCTGCGTGCTGCTCCAGCCCCTGCTCCGGCTCTTCCCCAGGGCCCCCGCCCTGCCCCTTCCCCGCCCGAGCCCCGCCTCTTCCCGTCCTTGCTCCGCCTCCGCCCCCCCCCGAGGACTGCAGCATGGACGAGCCTGCACTCACCGGCGGCAGGAAGTGCAGACCCGGCCCCAGCTGCGCCGTCGGTGAGTGGTTCCCCACTGCCCCCCAAGCCAGCCCTTCCCCCACACTCCCTCCCCATGGAGGCCTGGGGACAGCCCCCGTGCTCCCTCCCCGCAGAGGCCTGGGCCCCCCCCCCACACACCCCGCGTGTGGGGGGGGGGGCGCCTTGCGTAGGGCCCCAGAATAGCTAGGGACGGCCCTGGTCACAAAAGTCTGCAAAACTAGAAGAAGTGACAGGAAGTGTCTCTGTTGGGTTGGGAGACACTGGAGCAGGAAAAGAGGATGGTCAAAAGCAGCCAAACAAAAAGCTTTATAGAAGCCACAATGTATATACAGAATATGGTCAAAAATATTCAGTTACTCCTGAGGGTAAATACGAATGCACTTTCCAAAGCATTAAACTTCAACTTACCTGTTTGCCACTGAGCTGAAAAAAGGAAAGCCTTTGACCCCAGTCTGCTACAGCTAAGATGTCATTGTGTTCATCTCTAACATATAGAAGAAACAGACAATTAAGACATGTGGTGCACTGCAGTGATTTCTGTACAAAACTCATAAAAGCTACAGACAAAAAATAAGTACTATGTCAGACTACATTTAGCAAATAATGATTTTTTAAAAAAAGGCACAACAACTGAGAGAAAAGCAAACATATGCATCCTAACTAGAATACTAATGAACTTTTGCAGCCAGAGAACAGACAGCTTTGGGGGGGTAGAGGGGTGTAAGGGAGTCCACCATTTCCTCCCCACACATCACTATGCCACGGATTGTTTGCCTCCAAAGACTTAATACATCACTTCATAGACTTCCACTGCAGTTACGATCAGCCAAGGCTGATTAGCTAAGAGTCCCTGGACTTAAATATCTGTGGCCATATTCTGATAGCTTCAGGGGTGTAAATCCAAAGTCAATGGGCCTGAGTGGAGATGCACCTGATTTACATAAATATAATCGAGAACAAAATGTTGTCCTTGGAAGCTGATAGCAGAGCATTCTCTGAGAAGGGCCTCAACTCTGGAATTTGGTATTGTACTCTAATGCATAGAGCCCTGGACTCAAACTCAAGAAACCTGGGTTCTATTCCCATCTCTGCAGCAGGCCTGCTGGGTGACCTTGGGCAAGTCACTTCTCTGTGCCTTAGTTTCCCCATCTGTAAAATGGGGCTGATACTCCTTTGTAAAGTCCTTTGAGATCTACTGATGAACAGTACTATATAAAACAGCTAGGTATTATTATTACTGCTGATCTGCGAGTCTGTTCACCTTAGGACACCACACAAAGACCATCACTCCTCCTCCATTCCTTTGCCTGCGGGAGAGCGAATATGGTATTTAAGATTGATAGGGAGCAGGGATGGGCTGGAAGTAAAAAATTTTATTATGGTTTAAAAAATTGTGGGACTAAATTCACTGCTGGCACACAAAAAACGATGCAACTCCATCTAGTCAACAGAAACCCACACACCAGCAATGAATATGGCCCTATGGGTTTTGGGGTTCTTTAGGTTTTGATTATTTGTTTTGGTTTGTTACTTACATACACTATGAGTTTTTATAATCTATAAAATGCGTTCAACGATCTGATGATATTGCTGCACAAGCCTGACACTCGGAAAAAAAAAAATCAGTCTCCTAAAAGCTCCTGCTCAGTATTACTACTGTTGCAATTGGCAGTCTCATCAGAATCTCTGGGCTCTAGAGACTGAGATATCTTCTCATTCCTAGAGGTGTTTGCTTCAGGTAAGGGCTGAAGTTCATTGGTAGAAGACAGAGAGGAGAAATAAATAATTACATATATAAATTGGGACATAAATGTAGATGTCTACATTGTCTGTAGAACAGTAAATTTTATTCCCTTGAAATTTCACTCACGAGCTGGTGTCCCTAGGGCTCTCCTCTTCCTCATGTTCTTCTTCTTCTGTCTCACTACCCTGACTACTGCACGTGCTGGACTTCAAAACTGGTATTTCCTCTAAATAGTTGTGGACTGACTCCTCCTCTTCCTCACTTGCTCTATGATTCCAGAAATTCTCCCACCTACTGTAATATTAATTGTTCATTCACCTTCCCTATAACTACAGTCAAACTATCATTTCAAAATCTATTATTCTAAGACAAACTTCACTGCATAAAAATACACAAACGAAAAACCACACCATCTTTCCTGTATCAGAGGGGTAGCCGTGTTAGTCTGAATCTGTAAAAAGTAACAGAGGGTCCTGTGGCACCTTTAAGACTAACAGAAGTATTGGGAGCATAAGCTTTCGTGGGTAAGAACCTCACTTCTTCAGATGCAAGTAATGGAAATCTCCAGAGGCAGGTATAAATCAGTATGGAGATAACGAGGTTAGTTCAATCAGGGAGGGTGAGGTGCTCTGCTAGCAGTTGAGGTGCCATCTTTCCTGGCATCCAAGCTGATTTTGCACCCAGTTTTTCCATTTATCAAAAAAGACAATGAAGTACAATTGCTACATATAGCCACCAAAGAGATACACCCACCATTAGTGTGTTCCAGCATCTGAATTAGTGTGATCAAAACAGTGCAACTCTATAATTAAAAAAACAGGCAGCCTAGTAGGAGGCAGCTGATGTCTAGAAAGAGGTGTAGCTTGTCCCACAGGAATCTCAGTTTATCCCAGATACAAATCTCAGGGAGATGGGGCACTTGATCTTAAAACTCAAGTTGCCAATTATCCATCTCTTAGTCAAAATGCACTCCATTTTGGACTGTATATAGCAGTGAGAAAACCAAAGGTGGAAAGAGAGAAAAATCTGCACCAACGGAGTTTGTGAAAGCCCTCTTGGGTCAGTCACAGAGCGGTATAAGCCTCAAGAGATGGGGCAAAGCTTTCTTTAAGCCGAAGTAACATATGTGAATTTTGATGTGTCGTTGAGGGACGCCTATAACAAAGGCAAAGTGAAGGAAGAGTAGGATTGGGAGAAAAAACAGACCTAATCCTCATCTCATTTACACCAGTCTAAATCCAGAGTAACTCCATTTGCTTCTATGGAGTAATTCCAGATTTTTTACAGATGTGAAAAGGTGATCACCAGTGAAGAGCCTGAGGACTCTGAGGGCTTGTTTACACTAGGGCTGGATTGAGGGCTTGTTTACACTAGGGCTGGATTGAGGGCCAGCGATCGATCCAGTGGAGGTCGACTTATCGTGTCTAGTATAGATGCAATAAATCGATCGCTCTAGTGTCGACTCTGGTACTCCACCTCAATGAGAAGTGCAAGGGGAATCGACGGGAGAGCATCTCCCGTTGACACCCTGCAGTGAAGACACTGCGGTAATTAGATCTAAGTACGTCGACTTTGGGTATGTTAATCACGTAGCTGAAGTTGTGTAACTTAGATCGATCCCACCCCATAGTGTAGACCAGCCCTAAGTAAAGTGCAGAAGAAACCCACTTAAGGAAGAAGGATAATGGCCTGGCCATGCTGTGATGTCAGGAATCACTAAAACAAGGATTATCTGTTCAGCACAAAAGGGATGGACGTAAGAGGTTTACCTTGATGGATTCCAGCAAATTGACCATACTGGAGATAAAGAGCCGCCAGGACGTTCTATTTTGACTTTCTCTTCACCATTTTTATTCCTTATGCTGACAATGCCATTGAACATCCCCAAAGCAAGGTATTGGCCATCATTTGTCCAGCTGATAACAAAATAAACAAAATGAAAAAGCAGCACGACACAGAGGAAACTACTAAAAGTACAGTGTACTGAACCAGCAGATGATAGTTTAGAATGTGTCTCTAAGTAAGGAGAAAGAGTACTGGAATTTAGCCATTTACCCTGCAGCAATGTACAGTCACATTCATATTTATAGCAGGAACATGCAACCTAGGGAGAAACTCTTTGTTATACCTAAGTGAAAAATAAGTGCAAGAATAAAGAGAACAAAAGAGATATCACCTGCTAACACATGATGGAAAAATCACATCTACATTATTTGTGAAGATTGTGTGTCCACATACACACTGTATAATCTTCATTCAGAATAGTGATCACATAGAAGAGACAATAGTGATGTTTAGCATACAGAGCACTGGACTGGAACTCAGGAGACCTGTGTTCTACTCCCAGCTCCGCTACTAGCCTGCTACATGACCTTAAGCAAGTCACTTCACCGCTCTGTGTCTCAGTTTCCCCATCTGTAAAATTGAAATAATGATACCTCCTTTGTAAAGTGCTTTGAGAACTACTGATGAAAAGCACTACACAAGCGCTAGGTTTTATTTTATTATTTCCCCTGACTTTACCAGTTGAGTATATCCTTTTGCCCGCCCGATCACTTCCTTAAAACTGACTATGCTGCTGCCTCTGCATGTAGAACAGTTTACCTGTTTGCCAATTGCCCTCCTTCTACTCTTTCAAATGCTTCCTTAAAACACATTATCATCAATCCTTCCTATCTTTCTCCTCACCTTCCCTTACTTGAACTGTAGTGCAGCATTTCTCAAACTGGGGTCCGTGGACCCCGGTGATCAACTCCTCCCCTTCCCTCCCAACGCCTCCTGCATGCTTAAACTCCAGCAGCACAGCAGGGCTAAGGCAGGCTCCCTGCCGCTTCCAGAAGCGGCCAGCACATCCCTGCGGCCCCTAGGGGTGGGAGCAGGGAGTCTCCACGTGCTGCCCCTGGCCCGAGCGCCGACTCCACAGCTCCCATTGGTCGGGAACTGCGGCCAATGGGAGCTGCAGGGGCAGTGCCTGAGGGTAGGGGCTGCGCATGGAGACCCTCTGCCCGCCCCCGCATAGGAGCCGCTGCCAGAGGGATGTGCCGGTCACTTTCGGGAGCCGCCAGAGTTAACCGCCGCCCAGCCAGAGCCTGTACACCTCACCCCCTCCTGCACCCCAACCCCCTGCCCAAGCCCAGAGCCTGCACCCAAACTCCCTCCAAGAGTCTACTCCCCCTCCTGCACCCCAACCCCCTGCCCCAACCTGGTAAAAGTGAGTGAGGGTGGGGGACAGCAAGCGACGGAAGGAGTGGGGATGGAATGAGCAGGGGGCGGGGCCTTGGAGAAGGGGCAGGGCCTCAGAGAAGTGGGTGGGGCAAGGGCTGAGTAGGGGTCTGAGGGTCCCCGGAAAATTTTAAATCAAAATGGAGGTCCTCGGGTTGCTAAAGTTTGAGAACTGCTGCTGTAGTGCATGGTCTTGTCTGAGACTGCAAGCTTTTGGAGATATGTCGTAAACCATGTGTATATTTATAATTTTTCATGCTTTACAGTGCTCTATAATATTACTCCTGAGGGAATTATGTGCCAAAAAATTAAAAAGTCTGTGCCAAAAAAATATAAATTCTGCACACAATATTTTAAAATTCTGCAAAATTTTGTCAGTAAATAATTGTGGAGGCTCCAGCATGGAAGTGGAGAGCACAGGCAACTGGCTGCACGGAGGTAGGAGATCACCCTGACGCACCTCCAACCTCCAGGATATGAATTCGGCAGTGAGGCTATGCCCAACCCTGACACAGTGGAAGGGCTGGGCCTGCCCCAGAAACACCCCGGGGCCCTGCCCCACCATGCCAGGCACACCAGGTGTGGGAAGCAGGCTCAGCTCGGCAGGATCCAAGTCCGGACAGTTTTAACTGGGGGGATCCAGGTGTGGGGTGAGAGGGTCCTGTGTGGGGCAATATGGGTGCAGGTGGCTCAGTGGGGGATCCAGATGCATGGGGATTTGGATACACAGTGGCTTGTTGGGGAGTTCCATGTGCAGGGACAATGGAATTCTGCAGGGGAGTCCAGGTGAAGGTGGGTTGGTGTTCAGCAGTTTGAGTACCAGTGCAGCTGGTTGGAGCTCAGTGGGGTGGGGGTCTGAGTGCAGGGAGCTCATCAGGGTGGTCAGGGCTCATCAAGGTTGGGGTTCGAGTGCAGAGGGCTCAGCGGGGGCTGGTCTGGGTGCAGGATGGGGGTCTGGATTCGGGAGGCAGGGGATGAGGCTCAGCAGGGTCGGGATTCAGTGGGCTCAGTGGGAGGGTATTCCGTGCAAGGGTCTGGGAATGGGGGAGCATCTCCCGTACACTGACCCCTCCCGCCAGCGGCTGAGGAGCAATGGGGGCAGGAAGCGGGGGAAAGGAGGCGGTGCAGAGCTTCCTGCAGCCAGTGGAGGTTTCTGGGGATGGGTCTGACCCAGCCCGGCCTGGCCCTGGCTGCTCCTTGAAGAGGAAGTACCGTCCTTCCCCACCCCCAGCCAAGCCCAGCCAGCTCTAGCAGCTGAGCCCGGCACAGGGTAGGAGCCACTGGCCGGGGCATCCCCAGCCCTCCTCCCCACCCGCAGTGATTTGCCTCTTTGCTGGCTGCTCTGGGTGCCCAAAACAACATGCCCACGCTGCTGGGGAGGGACACATGGCTGCTCTTGCGGCTTCCCTTTGCTTCCCCGTCAGAAAGTCATTTTTCTGCGGGGAAGCAAAGAAATCTGCAGGGGACATGAATTCTGTGTGCATGAAGTGGCACAGAATTCCCTTAGGAGTATGGATAAGTGTTTTTGTATTATTAATTATTATTATTATTAATATAAAGTTAACTTAAAGCCCAATCCTGATATTTGATGCTTATATTATCTGGTTGCCCCACACACCACAAAAAAGTCTAAGTTATATATATATATATATATATCTATTGATGTTTACAAAGTACTTTACAAATATTAGTAAGTCTCAGCAGCACCTCCAAGAGGTTATTACTGTATCAATAGATAAAGAAAGGAACAGAAAGGTTAACTGACTTGCTCAAGATCACACTGCTTGTCATTGCAAGTCAGAAACAATACAATTTAAAAAAAAAAGTATACTGCACACACATACTGGGAAGAGGATGAGAGAAAGAAAAAACAGTATGTAACAGATGCTGCTTATTGCACCAGTGGAAGGTGCTCAGATACTACAGTGATGAGGATGGCGTGATATAGGAACCTTTGGTTCTGTTGTAATCTGTTCTATAAACTCCCAGTTCATGCTCCTAATCATGGCTTCTGCATACATTTAATTATATATACTTTTCTCTTTGTCATATTTTTATTCATAAAGGAAAAAAACAAATCTGAATGACACATCTAGTGCTTAAAACTTACCTACAGCAGGTGATTTTACTGCTTGATTTATGTTTGGAGACTGACTTCTGCTCAGGAGACCACAAGCCTTAAAAACAAAAACAAAAAAACCTAAGAAACCGACTAAGTTCTTCATCATTACAAGCAGCATTTAGATTAGAAAAAAAAAAAAAAAGGTGGTTGATTTTAAAGGGGCCAGGATTTTACTCAGTGTTGGGAAGGGTCAATATTTTGAATAGGTGCTGTTTATTCATATATGGAAGGAGTGGGAAGTAAACATCTAAATATAAGAACTATAATGAAATATGTCTTAAAGTGGGGCAAAAAAAATACTACTCTTGAAAAATCATATCACCATAAGATAACACACTTTAAGGCACTGGAGTACATAACCCTTTTCCAACTGATGGGGGGGAGTGATTTTAAAAGTAAAATATTAATTTATGCTCAACAAGGTATTTTCTAAATTTTAATCTGTATACTCCATAGTGAAGGAGTAACATTTTATTTCTCCATTTCTTCATTACAGAAAAGAAAAAACTGTACCTATACATTACTGGCTTAAAATGAGAGAATTAAACATTATTAATAATGTTTACTGGCTCAATGAAAAACATCAGAGGAAGAAGACATACCAAAATCACTGGAGGAGCAGGATGCCAGTTGGTGAGTAACAGGATTGTATGAAACACACTGTATAGAATCATTATGCCTAGAACAAAGTAATCATCACATTTCAAACAAATCTTTTGTTTTAAATGCCACATTTTCTATCTTTTATAACAAGATATCTTAAAGCTAAGCTTAGGAGGACAAATATTGCATAAAAACAGATCAAGTTACACTATGTCAAATTAACATGTAATTAAACTAAGTTAAAAATAAACTTTTTTTAAATTAAGCAGTCTCTAAATGGAGGCTTCATCAGATTGCAAGAACTGGCTGCATTGGTATGAGGGCATAGGTGGATATTGGTTTGGGAAGCACTGTGAAAGAAATAAATGTTATTAACCAAATTTTTCCATAATATGTATGCGTGCATCTCTCTCAATAACTTCAACAAGAATCATGCAAACTTATCAAAAAGCAGAATTAGGATTTGAAGACGTAAAATACTAGCAATTACATATCTATATTTCTTAATGACTTGTGGAAGACTGGTATTAATCCAATGAAAAATACCAAGAGAATTCTGTATGCACACAAATGAAGCAGGGCAGAAAAAGATGGAACTTTTTGGTGGAGGCAAGTACTAGCAACCACCTTTGGATTGGGCTTCAAACTAGAACTATTCTAATTTGGCTTATTTTACAAGATCAGGCTCATGTCTTGGACATACAGTACACATAACTCCTGTTGAGACAAAGGCAGAATATAACTCCCAAAACTCTCCTGACACTCCTCTGCTCTTCTTGAACTCCTGCAGCTTCTTAACACAGTGAGAGAGGCTCTCTGGTGCTCCTTCAGCCCTGCAATGTCTTCACAAGAGTAACATCAGTGCTTTATCTAGCCCTCCCACTACTCCCTCATTCTCTTAACTGTTTTCCTAACCCTCTCAAATATCTTTTTATATCTTGACTGCTCTCCTCCATCATTTCTCCTCTCTCTACTAGTTTCTTCTCTGACCCTAGTTCACATTCCTTCAACTCTCCTAGCATCTCTCACTTATATTAACAGCAGAAGTCCATAACCAAAGTATCTATTTAAAGGAAGCAGTGAAGTGAATGGGTTCACTTACGTGTATTTCAGAATGCCTTCTAACTTTGAAGTCCAAATTATTACACTTTTGTCAGCAGAGCCAGATGCAAAACGCTTGCCTAGGGATTAATAATAATATTTTAAAACAAAACACCCATACATTTAATTATCACGTTTACTCCAAAAACACTCATCTTAGCAAAATAGAAAACAGGAAGTACTTTGTAGGTGTCTGAGCTCTACAGGATCATGTAAGTATGGGTCCAGTCCTGCTACTGACTCCATATGGTTGCACTTCTGCACCCACACAAAGTACTGCTGACTTCAATGGAATGCTGTACAGGTAGACCTCTGCTTTCACACAGAGCCCCACTAAAGTTCATGGGATGCACAGGTCTCTATTCGTATCATCAACTGCAGGATTGGGGCCTATGTTTGTAATATCCAGAGAACAGCACTTTCTTCTGCAGCTAATATTTGTAAAGTGCTTTGAGACCTGAGATAAAAGGCAGTGTTTAAATACAAAGTATTATTAAAACTACCTTAACATTCCTAATTTTAAATTTACAATAAGAAAGGCATGAGGCCAATTACCATGCTTTCTACAAACTAACACAAACAAGGAAGCTAAGAAACCCAAAGGTGTCACCTACCATCTTTAGCATAAGCCACACAGTACACTGTGTCCTTGTGCCCTTTCAAGGGCTGAATTAAGGTTCCATCAGATGTATCATACACCTGTATCAATAAAAGGAAAATGTAAAGACCACAATCCTTCAACAAGCTCCACAGGGACTAGAATAATTAGAACTAAACAAGATTTGAGGCAAAATAATTGTTTGTATACTTTGCTTATTTGACAATACTTTGTACATAGTCAATGTCACTATTTCTCATGGATAGTTAGTTAGTTTCCCCTATTAAAGTCCACACAGCAAAAGGAGACAAATTAAAAAAAAAAAAAAAAAAAGGAAAGGAAAATGCAATTATATGACAAAATTTGGCAGGGAGATTTTGAAACAGGTGTAGTACCTGAAACTACTTTTAACTTGTCTTTTAAAAATGACTACAGTTTAAATTGATGGCATCCTTTTAAAATACTAGAACATACTTGCTTCTTTCTGTGCATGGAGAAGCAGGCATTACATGTAAGGACAATAGAGATTACTCAATCATTTATATGAAAGTCATTCAATTCATATGCTGTTTTCAGACACCCACTTGGCCTGCCTGTTTCAAAAAATCCCATTCCCTCCCTATATCAAAAACTATCACTTGTTCTTTCTACCACATCTTTTTAAACTGAAGAAAAGGACACATGAAAGAGTCCCCATTAGAGAGAGTAGTAAGAAATTTTAAAAGACCCCAAAAATATTGCTATAGTTTATATAATGTTCCATAGCTATATTTTGGGGTCTTTTAAATTATATATTATTATTCTTAGATTCAGGTGGTATGGTGTGGAGAGGAGTAAACAATCTCCTACCAGCAATCTGTTTCCTGCTGCAATTATCAGCTGAGTTCCATCAGGTTTAAAGGCAAGATCATATATACTGGACAATGAGACAAAAAGGGAAAATTAAGGACAGAACACGTAATATTACAAGAAATACCCAGAAAACATACTTTCTATTTCTAACATTGTTTAAATGCCATAAAAAAAGGAGTCAAGATTTAATTTAATAGAATTTATTACACACCTCAGAACATATCTAACTTTGGGGAAAATTCCAGAAGCCAAATAGGTTTACGATGCTTTCCCCACATGCAATAAGAATTTCTCCAAACCAGACCACCATCCTGCAATTGGCTTTGTCCAGGCACAGAAGTATGCTTACACAGATCCAACTGCAGGACCAGGTCACTAACCTGCAACTGCATCCTTGTAGACAGATCCTTGTGACCATGCATATGCAGTTGCAAGATCAGGGCCATGGGTGGATGAAAATTTTAAAAAATAGGGAAAATCCTGCATTATTCAGACATTATTATTGACATTATATTACCTATTGTTTATGAGAACCAACTATATACACGCTACAGTATACATTTTGATGGTTATATGGATAATAAAAACAGATTCTTGTTCAATGACATGAAGAAAATCAAAATAGAAAGGTGGTACCATATTTAATCTTGCTGTCACTTGATGTTGGGAGGGGTAGGGGCTGGAGAGGCGGAATAAATGGTCTGTATTCATTCCTCAGTAAAGTTTTCCTGAGATATACAGCTGGTTTCCAAGAGGACAATCCTACCATAGCACAGTTCAGTAGAACACGATACAGAACATTAAACAGCTGCCAATATACAATAAATTAGTATTGGCTGGGGGTGGGAGGGCATTTTCTCCCAAAGCACTTCCTACCACTTGAATATACAACACTGGAGAAATTAACCACTCATTCGTTTAGCAAAGCCTCCACAGGGAGGGTAAAGGGTGAAGTCTGGCCAAGCACACCGGAAGTACACCTCTACCCCAATATAACATGAATTCTGATAAAACGCGGTAAAGCAGTGCTCCGGGGGGGGGGGGGGCTGCGCACTCCAGCGGATCAAAGCAAGTTCGATATAACACGGTTTCACCTATAATGCGGTAAGATTTTTTGGCTCCTGAGGACAGCGTTATATCGAGGTAGAGGTGTACTCTTAGAAAAAAACTGTGGAGTGATATTTAACATGCACAAAGAGCAAAGAGAACCACAGTTTGGAAAATCACCCACAGAGTAAACTACCTGGAATTCAATGTATCTATTTTCTTTAAATGAAGGGCTAAAGTTGCAATCTTCCCACCCCTCAGGAACCCACAACTCAGGATTCTGGGAAATCTGTATATTCCATATTTAATGCTTAATTTACTAAACCATCCCCATTGGACTCATATTTGATGTTTCTCCCATGTCTCCCATTGACATTAGTAACCACGGTTATAAACCACAGGCTGCTGCTCTCCTGGCCCCAATAAGAACCCATGAAATCTTACCGGTTCATACAGATTGTGAGCTTTAAATTGATAAGAAATTTACTATTAAATAAAAACGGACTGACAAAGATGCAACATGCCTGATCAGATTATCAGCATGCCCATACTACAGTGACCCTCATCCCAAACCCTCCCCTGGGGCAAATCAAAAGATGGGTCCCTGCCATCCCCCCTCACATTCCTTACTAGGCCATGAGCTCCCCAAGGCAGGAACCACATCTTTCCATGTGCCCCATAAAGTGCCCAATGTGCTTTGGGATGCTGTGAAAATAGCAAACATAAACCATACTCAGCCTCTTACCATTGCTCGGCCTTATCCCTCCAGGTCAGTGCGGCCCTCATCCCTCCCTCTCCTACTAACCCTCCCTCCCCGCCTGCCCTGCCCCCTCTCCCCAGCACCCCTTCCCTTCCCTCCCCGCCTGCCCTGCCCCCTCCCCGCCTGCCCTGGCCCCAGCACCCCCTCCCTCCCCGCCCCCTCTCCCCAGCACCCCCTCCCTCCCCTCCTGCCCTGCCCCCTCTCCCACAGCACCCCCCACCGCCTGCCCTGCCCCCTCTCCCACAGCACCCCCCACCGCCTGCCCTGCCCCTAACACTCCCTCCCTCACCGCCTGCCTTGTCCCATCTACCCCTAACTACCGCTTCTTCCCCTCACCCTACCCTACCCTGCTTTGCCCCGCCCCGCCTGTGTGTGCCCGTGTTACTGCCTGCCTGCCTGCCTGCCTGCCTCTCTCAGCCCCCTCTGCTGTCTCGCGGCACCGCTGGCGCTGCCCTGACTTTCCCCCTTCCCTGGCTGCTGTTTGTTTATTTACACAAGATTAAAGCTCCCCCAACCTCCCCAGGCAACGCGCATGCGCACTAACCCCAAAGCCCTTTGCTTGGAATCAACCGGCACGACGCGAGGAGGTGGAAAGGGAAAGGACAGACACGCAAACATTGAGTCAGGATTGCGCATGCGCCACGAACGCTTCGTCCCATGGGCACTGCGCTTGCGCAAGGGGGAAAAGTACTGCGCAAGCGTGAAGCTCTCTGCGGGACTGTGCTTGGAATACGCATGCGCAAGAGGCGGACTGTTCTGTGTCGGGGCTGTTCTCGCGGTAGAACCTCTGCGCGCCCTTGGCGGGATCGTATATTGGCGAGAAGCTCTGTGGGGGTGTGTTAGGTATGCGTAAGCGCATGCGCAGTGTGGGCAGGAAAGGCGTACACCCTCACGTGACATGGGAGGCGCTTCAGTATGGCGGCTCCGGAAGTACGGGGGCAAGAAGAGGGCAGGTAAAGTTACTATAGCAACAGGAGGTCAAGAGACCTTTCAGAAGGGCTAGGTCGCGGTCTGTTCGCTCAGATTGGTCCGTCCCCATAACGTGGGGTCCTGTAGCATAGTGCGGTGATGCCACACTGTGGTGACGTCACAGGACATGGTGCGGTGATGTCACAGTGCGCGATTATGTCACATTCTGATGACGTCACGGGTCATGGTGCGGTATGTGAAACCCAGTTCTGCGTGGGTATGTCGGTCGCTCTGGGCCCTGTTTAGTTCCTTGCCAGCTTGGCTCTTGGGATGTTGTGTGCTGGCCACAAAGCCTCTGCCTAGAGAGCGCCACTGACAGCTGGGACTGGAACTGCTCAGCTATGTGTCATACGCTCTATGGTGCTGCACTCCGGGAGATTCTCATTTAGCTTGAATGGCGGGACCTGGAACAGGAGGATCTGAGTTATATCCCTGCTGCCACTGATGAGCACTGGGCTGGGTTTCAGCTGGCTGAGGGCCCTGGGCTAGGATTAGAACAGGTATAAGGTTCTGAGACGTACTGCTGTGGAGTCATTTTCTGATATGTTGCACAGATTTAGCAATCATAACACTTAAGTGGCCCCAGACATATAAACATTAAACTGGCAAGGCAGTACAGTACAAACATCAGCCAGGGCAGTTCAAAACCTCCCAACTGGCAGCCCCAGTAATGCGTATGTTACTTATGTGGGCTCTAATTAAGAAGACCATTTATGTTTCAAAGAAATAAAGAATATGAAAAATGCACTTGGAAGCTTACTTTTAAAGGCTAACATCCTACTGTGAAAAAATAACAGGAGTACTTGTGGCACCTTAGGGACTAACAAATTTATTAGAGCATAAGCTTTCGTGGGCTACAACCCACTTCTTCGAATGAAAGCTTATGCTCTAATAAATTTGTTAGTCTCTAAGGTGCCACAAGTACTCCTGTTATTTTTGCGGATACAGACTAACACGGCTGCTACTCTGAATCCTACTGTGGTTTGTTTATGGCACAAGATTATATTCCAGGGATCAGCAACCTTTGGCACTCAGCCCATCAGGGAAAGCCTCTGGCAGGTCAGGACAGTTTGTTTACCTGTAGCGTCACAGGTTTGGCCGATCACAGCTCCCGCTGGCCGCGGTTTGCCGTCCCTGGCCAATAGGGGCTACGGGAAGCGGCGTGGGCCAAGGGATGTGCTGGCCGCCGCTTCCAGCAGCCCCCATTGGCCAGGGACGGCGAACCGCGGCCAGTGGGAGCTGCGATCGGCCGAACCTGCGGACGCTCCAGGTAAACAAACCATTCCAGCCCACCAGCGGCTTTCCCTGATGGGCTGCGTGCCAAAGGCTGCCGATCCCTGTTATATACAATGCAAAGTCACACATTTGTATTCCAGACTATGATCCTCTGTATGGTTATTGCTGAAATACAAGACAATGCACTCCTCATGTTAACTTGAAGTTCAATATGTAAACATAGTATAGATTACAAATATTTTTGTTCCACATGGGAGAGAGGCTGATCATGCTGTTTCCATAGCTCTCCCAGCATCTACTGTCCCAATGAACAAGAGGCAAGGTCTCACACATAACAGTGCACAAATATTTGCAACAGGCCAGCTAATACCTTCATATTTTCAGTTAATTTTTTTCTCCAAAATCTCTGCAGGTCTTGAAATATTGTAGTTATGAATAGTTCCAGACAGGTCTATTTCTATCATTTTATTTTACATTTACTTTCAGTGACAAAAGTGACATGCAAATTGGAAAGAAAACAAAAGAAGAGGGGAAAGAATTAGTGACAGAGACAAGAGAATATTTTGGTCTACAGATTGAAGGTACTGAGACCATAGCAGAAAACACACTCCAGTGCAAAGAAGATGTAGCTGCTGTATCAGAAGTGGCTTCTAGATGTCTCAAAAACATTCCAGATGGATGGGAGAAGATCACAAAGCAACGACAGTCAGGCAAAACTGCAGGGAAATATGATGTTTATTTCATCAGGTAATATTTGATGCAACTCTTGAAATTAAATCTGTATAGTAAGTAAAAGCAGTGTATGTCACATAGACTTATTCTACTGGTTGCTTAGTGGAGAGTAAGTGTTACAGAGTCTAGGAGTCAAGTGTCCTTGTTCTGTTCCAGTCCTCACACAGATTTAGTCTGGGACTGATCCAAAACCCACTCCAAGTCCATAGACTCCTGTTGATTTCAGGAGCCTTTGAATCTGACTTAGGGCAAGTCTTTTAACTGCTTGGTACTTTATACTAATAATATGGAAATCTGTAAATAAAAATATTTACATGCCTCATAAGGGTAGCATGGGGCTGTAAAATACTTTAATATACTTAAATGAAAGTATAAAGTATTATTACTTGCAAATTAGTTCTTTGTATGAACATTTTTGATCAAATATTAATAGAAGGCTTGTCTAAAAGGTATTTATTCAGCCTTTTTAAAAAAAATATTGAGCTAGATTATTTTTTGGAAAATCCAAGTAACATTTTTGGCTGATTTCCCTCCCTCCTCCCTTCCCCCCCCGCCCCCCGAAATGTGAGGTGCAGTTTTGTTTGTTTTGTTTTAAGAGCAAGGAATGAAAACTATAACCACTGATCATTTAACTTTCTTTCATTTCATAGTCCTCAAGGAGCAAAGTTAAGATCCAAACGTGCACTTGTGGCATATTTTAGTAAAAATGGAGAGACTGTTCTTAAACCAGAAGATTTTGACTTTACTGCTCCTGTTCAGAGCAAAACTCGATCAAGAGCCAAAGGATTCGGTGCAGAAGCTGTGGGACCAAGATTACAGAATAAAGAATGTAACAGTAAAGCGCAAGATCTTAGTGTGCAAAGTAGTAAAGAAGAACTTAAAGTTTTGGAGTTGCAGACCAGTAATGAACAGCTAGAAAACATTTCCATCCATCTGCAAGGCAGGGGGGACTTGGTCATTAAAGACATTAAGCCAAAGGACTGTTGCATAAAGGCCAAAGAAAAAGGAGCAGTTGGAAGAAGGGCTCAAATTAAGAAAGCTAGAAAGGGCTCAGAAAAGAGGACTCCAGATCACAGCCAAAATAAAAGGCAGAGAAAAGCATCATGTAATAATCAAGAGGCTGAGGGCAGCCAAATCAAAAAAATCCAGCAAAAGAAAGATGTTTGTGTTTCTGATAGAGGCAGAATAGACAATCAGAACTTAAACCCCACAGATACTGGAAAAGCAAACACACTTTCAGAGGATGAAATAATGACTTCAGGATCACAATCAGAGATGCATCTTGGACCAGTAACTGCTCTCTCAGAAACAGAGTCAAGAACCATGGGACAATTAGGATATGCAGAGAAGAGTTCTGATGATGCAGCTGCTACGAAATCTGACAAGAACATTGCAGAAAGAGAAGGATTGGATGCGTTTGCGAAAGAGAAGGACTGGGTGCATTCGAGTAACCAGGATTTCAAACCTGGCACTGAAACAGACATTAGCATTTCACAGCCTTGTGACAAGAAAAGCTTTACATCAGTGAAAATTCTGCAAGGTATATACATTTCAGAGCAGAGCACTCTTCTAAAATTCCATCAGGGATACTTCCAAACTAATTACAAAAAAGGAGTGTTTCAGGCCTGCCTATTCCATGACTGGGTATGGTTAGAACAGGGGTCGGCAACCTTTCAGAAGCAATGTGCCGAGTCTTCATTTATTCACTCTAATTTAAGGTTTCGTGTGCCAGTCATACATTTTAAAGTTTTTAGAAGGTCTCTTTCTATAAGTCTATAATATATAACTAAACTATTGTTGTATGTAAAGTAAATAAGGTTTTTAAAATGTTTAAGAAGCTTCATTTAAAATTAAATTAAAATGCAGAGCCCCCCAGACCGGTGACCAGGACCCGGGCAGTGTGCGTGCCACTGAAAATCAGCTCGTGTACCTCCTTCGGCACGCGTCCCATAGGTTGCCTACCCCTGGGTTAGAACTTTCTAAATCTCCTTGCTTGGAGTCTGTCTAATCTGTTTATCATATTTACCATACAGAGCATCAGATATTATAGTAGCTAAGTGCTATGAACCAACCAGTTCAAGCCAAGGAAGTGGATTTATTCACAATTAGAAATCACACCATCACTTTCTCTGATTTAATGTAGCAATGATCACTACTCTCCATATGTCAATTAACTTCTTAAGTTACTGCAAAAGTGGCCAGGTTTTGATTCAAGATATACAACTAACCTTGTTTAACTTCATTCTGAGGTTAGTATAATAGTTCATTGATTCTGCCCTCAATTATACCTGTGCAGCATCCATTGACTCACTGAGATATGACTACTTTTCTTAAGGGTTTGTCATTTGAAGATTATTTTTTTTAACAGATGCTGAAATTTGATTAGATATCAGAGTGGAACTAATTCTCATTTACATACAGGTATTTTTTTTCTTTTTAGAAGACTATGTCCCAAGAACACAAGTAGAGAGAAGGAAAACCAGTCCATATTTTTCTAGTAAATACAGTAAAGAAGGTATAGTATTCTCTATAGGAAAGAAAGCTGTGTTTTGGGGGGATTGAAAGGCTCAAGAGATTAGTAATGGGGTATGGAGCCTTTCACTTTTATATCAGTAGCTCAAATCCATACCTGGTCATTACTAATCTGAGAGGTACCACCACCTGATGGCTGCATTGTGGCCTACGTGAGAGGATTTTTGTTG